AAATATAAGACATGTTTTCTTTTATTACTCATCCAGCCCTGCAAATAAAATCGTTGGGAGGGAGTTTTGCAGCAGACAGGAGGTGTGACTTAAGAGAATGGCTTCAGTTTATTCTTCTTTTTTTAAAAAAATAAAATAAAATATTCCACTGCAGATGGTGCTTTATGTAAAAGAAGAAATGAAGAGGAACGACCTGCCAGAACCGGCTGTGATTGGACTCCTGTGGACCTGCATAATGAACGCTGTTGAATGGAACAAGAAAGAAGAGCTGGTCGCGGAGCAAGCACTGAAACATCTGAAGGTGTGCAAGTGACGGCTGGCTTGTACAGTAAGAATGGAGGGTTGGATCCCTTTTTGTGCAGCAATCCCAGCACATGTGTGTGCATGGCTGTCAAAGACAGGAGATGTGCATCCAATAGAAAGCTTGCTTTGCATTGGCAAGGAAGGCTAGCATTATGCGCTGGTCGCAGGGATAGATCTCATCCTCTAAAAGCCTGCAGGCATGTTCAAAACAGGAGGAGCATGGAGAGCTCCCAGGTTCATTCACTCAAGGCTCTTTGAGAGCAGCTCATTGTAAATCAGTTTACTGGATAACTGCAGGCATGCAACGGACAGGTTATCCAGAGTGAATATCCCACTGGTGTGTTTTGCAGATGTGGCAGGTGACAATACTCTGCAAGCCCACACCCTTAAAAGAATATCCTGGGGAGTGGTGGTGGTTGTTGTTTTGCAGCGAAACATAACACTCTCTTCTGTATTAGCCTATGAAAGAATAACTTAATTTCTTCTCTGGTTGTTTTAGCAATATGCACCTTTACTGGCTGTATTCAGCACCCAGGGCCAATCAGAGCTGATCCTTCTCCAGAAGGTTCAGGAGTACTGTTATGATAACATCCACTTTATGAAAGCCTTTCAGAAGATTGTGGTGCTCTTTTATAAAGGTATTTGACCATACCTCTTTCCTTCCTCCCTTCCTTCCTTTTTCCATTATTCAATTTACACAAAATGTTTAAAGAGGGTTCAGAGTTAAAACATCAGGACTCCAATAGGTTTAGCATGAGGCACATGAAAGGATGTGTCCGCTGCCTGTTTTTCTCTTTATGTTCTATAAAAGCTGAATGTGCCAGGATTGTGCTGCTAAGTTGCGGGCTGGCCTGCATCTTCCTGCCCTGTGAATTGCTGCAGCTCCAGTGTTATTGTGCTGTAATACTTCCCATTTAAGAGATGTCTGGTGATACTGCTTTAGCTTGCAGTGCAATGAAATACAGGCGCATTTAAACCTGGAACTTGTCCGCTGGAATTGTTACATAGGAACACAAGAAGCTGCCTTATCCTGGGCTGGACCGGCAGCGCATCTCTAGGGTTTCAGAGAGGGTTCTCTCCCAGCCTTAGCCGGAGATGTCAGGAATCAAACATGAGACCTTCTGCATGCAAGGTGGTTGCTCTTCGCCTGACCCACAGCCTTGCCCCATCCAGAAGGAGCCTGCTGTTTCTTGCTGTGTCCTCTTCAACTTCACGTATTCCCACTTTCCAGTAAAGGAGATTTGTGCGCCCTAATTTGCCCCCTTCTTTTGCATTTCCTTGTTAGCTTCCCCCCCCTTTATTGCAGTTTAAGGAGCAGTGCAGGATGTGAGAAGCAATTTCCATTCGATGATCCATGCTCCATTCACATGATAGGCTTCCTGGAGATAAGGAGAGCCATCCCATGAGTTGCCTTGAGGGCTGCAGAAGGCCAGAAGCAGGCTTTGGTGAGGGTTTGTAATTGGTAGCTTGGGGCTGTCGACTCTTAACTGGCGGCTGAGCATCTCTTGAATTGTGTCTCTACTGAAAGCGCTTGAAAGCTAAACAGAGATCCTACACCTTAACAGACTCTAAATAGCTTCCCTTGGAAATTTCAATTAACAGCACGTTTCTCATTCTATCTCTTTGTTCAGAAAGATCCCGGAAGGCACTTCCAATTCTTTAGCTAAGCTGTCAAATCCCCACCCCCCCTCCTCCATTTTCCTTTTATATAAGGGAATGGGTCCGTGGCTTGTTGTCATAGAGACTATCTGTCTTTCTTTTGCAAGGTGTTAAGAGTATAGTATGACATTGTTGCTATAAATAGTGGAAGGAGGTGGGAAAGTCTTCAACAGGGAAGTTTCATAATGCTCCTTGTTTGCATTGATTGTAGTGCCATAATGACAACAGTAGACCGAGGGATTTGGGTCTGGCAGCTGGAAGTTGTTGAGCTGCCTTCTCACTCACTGATGTAGCTAAAAAAGACAACACTCAAGCCCTTAACAAAATGGAGGGGGAATGAAGACTCTAGTGAGGACAGACACCGGGCCACTTCAAAAGCAGTGGTCGCAGCTTGCAAATGCTTCTGAATACCAGTTGCTGGAGAGTGCTCTTGTGCTCGGGCCTTGCTTATGGTCTTCACAAAGGCATCTGGTTGGCCATTATGAGAGTAGGAAGATAGACTAGATGGGCCATTGGTCCGATCCAGCAGGCTGTTCTCATATTGTAAACATAATGAGTGTCCCTCAAGCCTTTGGCAACTTGATGTCCCTTGGACGTTTTGGACTCTAACTGCTACTATTATGACTGTGCTGGATGGGACTGGTAGTCCAAAACATCTGGAAGTCACCAAGTTGGCAAAGGCTGATGCATATCGTCAGCACCAAACCCGGATCCGTGAGGCCACTCCTGCAGAACTACAACTATCCCAAAGATGCATCACATGGTCAACTGCCATGTGTTTTATTTAACTGGAGATATCTTGCCAACTAACCCAGTGCCCCTATGATATGAATTAATTTTAAGTTCATTTTTTAAAAATTGATTAAATCCCAGATTTGTAAAACAGGAGCTATCTGTTGCCTTGCAGATTCCCCTAAAGGCAGGTGTGCGGGCCTTTGCTCCTCGTGTCTATAACAATCCCCTAGGGCCGAAGGAGTGGGTGGTTGGAATTGGTTCCTGCCACCGGGAATGTCGCCACGAATTGCTTCATGGGCTTTGCTCAGACTGACATCACTTGGGGCAGCAACGGGGGAGCTACACTTCCCACAACTGCTCAGCTAAAATTGCGGCAGCATTTAAAATGTCATCTTAATCATTTTTAATCATAAATAGCTAACTATAAATCCCCCCCTCTGGTGTTCCTTGTACTTCAGAAAGCAACCTAGGGGTATGATTAAGTGCACCCTGTCCTGCATGATTGCTTAATTGAGCAACTCTCTGACAAGAGAATATTATATTTTTTGGGAACTACTGAAGGCATGAATAAATTACAAGTTGTCTTTCTCGAGATTAAAGGAAAATTCAGTTGACCTTTTAATTCGCACTGGTGACTCGTTCAGTCTATTTTTCTGTGCTTATTCAAGGCCTGTTCAAGATTCTTTCATTCTCGTTTGACTCTTAAGCAGGTTGTGCATAAGGAAGACAGTTCTTTCCCACTTCCATGTGATCCCTGTTTTTTCCTTCTACAAGTTCTAGTGTCTCCTTCAGAAAGCTCTAGCTACCTAAATGGATTCCAGTCCCCGGCAGCGACCAGATGAGGGATCCAAGTCAGTTTTAGCACCTGCCTGCAAGTTTTTGCAGTCAGTAGGACTTCAAGCAGTACATAAAATAAGTGCTAAGTGATCTGAACAGAACCCAACACAGAATACTTGTTGACATTTGTCTTGCAGTTAATTACACTGTCCCGGTGGGCATGTGAGATTAGCTGAGAGGCTTCCTAGCCAAGTCAGGAAAACGTGTGTAAAATGGTCCTTATTAACTGAAGCTGAATCTGTTCTTCAGCACCTGCAACATTGAAGAGCTTCTGTCCCTGTTTCAAGGACTTTTTCACCAGATGTTGAACCATAACTCCTGTAACCTTTGAGCATCTGAGGTTGATGGGAGTGGGGGTCTGACAACAGCTGCAGAGCCATGGGTTCCTCATCCCTACCCAATACCCCCAAATCACCCTAGGGTAACAACACCCTTTTCCGTTTTGCTGTCTTCTGCTTGAAACCATAAGGCAGCTCTCTGGGTGGCCAATGCTTTTCAATGCACTGCTATTCCACCCACTCCAGAGCTCTCAGGAGACAGTGGGAACTCTCACAGGGTCTCATAAGACCTGGGAGTGCAGAAGAGGCTGCCTTTGCTGTGGGGGTCTGCAGTGCAAAGAACTGGGATTACTGTTGATTCCAGTTTAAAACCAATGCATATGATTATTACAGCACAGCATAAAACAAATGCGACAAAGCTATTCACAAAATAAGTGCAGCGAGCCTTAAAAGGAACATAAAATCAAGAAACGGCTGTTCAATTAGTTTGTTCTGGGAACAGATGTTGGCTTACAGCAGGGCTGGGGAACTTGTGGCCTTCCTGATGCTGTTGGGCTCCAACTCCCATCAGTCCCAACCAGCACTGTCAGTGGCAAAGGATGATCAGAGTTGGAGTCCAGTAGCATCTGGTGGGCCCAGTCTTAAAGTTACTGCAGTTATATGGAAGTCTATAGAAGTCTCTGCTGTGTCAAAGTTGGTAAATCCCATATAAGGATGATGATGTCATTGGATTTTCTCTGCAAGCATCAGTGATTGGCCTCTGCAAACAATAAATGACACATGTGTAAGTTTTTATGTGAGATTCGTGAAAACCCTAATGTGGAAGCTGCTTCTGTGACGGAATTCTGACAAAGTGTACCAAAGTAGCCCTGGACCTATAGAGTTCTTTGCCACAGTCAGTGCAAATGTGACCGGCTTTCTAAAATGGTTGTGGGAATCTATGGAAGATAGATCCCTGCTACTTAGAGCATGGAAAGGGCAACCAAAACAGTAAAGGGACTGGGGCAGCTCCCCTTTGAGGATATGTTACAACACTGCAGGATTTTTAATTTTTTAAAAAAGAAAGAAAACTAAGGGATGATACAACAGCGGTGTATAAAATTATGCATGGTCTAAACAAAGTAGGTAGAGAGAAGTTTTTCTCCCTCTCCTAATGCTAGGACCCAGGTTGACCAATGGAGATGAACAGTCCCTGTAGCTCAGATGTAGAGCTTCAGCCTTGCATGCAAAAGGTTCTGGGTTCAATCCCTGGCATTTCCAGTTAGGGCTAGAGCAGACTTCCTGTCTGAAACTGTGGAGAACTTCTGCCAGTTGTTGTAGACGATACTGATCTAGATGGAGCCAATAGGGTGGCTTGGTATTAGACAATTTCCTTCATTCCTAATGTGGTAAAATTCAGGACAGACCAAAGAAAGCGCCCAGTTAAACTCTGGAACTCACTTCTGCAAGATGTCATGATGGTCACCAACTTAAGACAGTTGTAAATTAATGAGGCTGCTAGTGGTTACTAGTCATGATGCCTACATTGAATATTATATTTAGTATGAGAGATAGTTCGGTCAGTAGAGCATGAGACTCTTAGTCTGAAGGTCATGAGTTTGAGCCCCACATTGGGCAAAAGATTCCTTCATTGCAGGGGGTTGAACTAGATGGTGTTTATGGTCCCTTCCAACTCTACGATTCCATGATTTCCTCTCGTTTTGGAGCAGCCTGCCTCTGAATTCTCATGAGTGGGAGAGTGCTGCTGTGCTTACGTTCTGCTTGTTTGAGAACAGAAATGCTGGGCTAGATACAACCTTGGTCAGACCCAACAGGGCTTTTCTGATGCTCTGTTGGGGCTTACTTTCCATGGCAACCTGAAACAAAGAATCCATGTTTAGACTGTAGACACCAGATGGCTCCCACAGAGATGGCCATCTTTGCCCTTGATGGAGACTGAATGGGCAATACCAGGTGGGCAACTTGCCTTCCTCTTGGCGGCCGCTCGCATGGCTGACGTGTTGCAGATCGTTAACGTTTTAACCAGAAATGGAGGAAGCAATTTTATGTAACATGAAATTATTTTAAGTGCTTGATCACTGAATACTAGCGGCGCAGTTAAGTCTCCCTTGTTTCTCCATTTCCAGCTGCAGCCCCTCCTGTCAGGCTTTGCTGATGATTGCAGTGGTGTAGTCACATTAAAGCCCTTTTTTAAACAAAAAACAAAAAAGCAGCAATTTTGGTGTTTGTGTATGCTAATTCTCTGCCCAGAAACACTTCCTAACTGTATACTCCTTGGTTTTGAATTGCAGCTGATGTCCTAAGTGAAGAAGCCATCCTGAAGTGGTACAAAGAGGCACATGTTGCCAAAGGCAAAAGTGTCTTCCTTGACCAGATGAAGAAGTTTGTTGAGTGGCTACAAAATGCTGAAGAAGGTAAGGTTCTCCTCCTCCTCCTCCTCCTCCTCCTCCTCCTCCTCCTCCTCCTTTTTCTTGGTATATCTGGGATATTAAGGAAACGTCTACTTCATTTCACATCACCCAGGTTCCGCAATGGGACCAAGACTTACATCAGGGGTGAGGAACTTTTTTTCAGCCCAAGGGCCACATTCCCTCATGGACAACTTTCTGGGGGCCACATGCCAGGGGTAGGCAGGTGCAACAGATGTGATTCTTATTTTTGTCTTCCAGTCACGCACATCAGAGGTATTCTATGCCTGCAACTTTCTATCCAGGAAAGCAAGAGGCATTATTGAGAGCTCAGGATATGTTCCAGCCAGACAAAAGACCTGGAGAGGGTGTGTAGGAGAACCAGTGAGGGCTTCAGCCAAAGGAGGAAGGGTCTTGGGAAGAGTCCTGAGGCCTGGAGGGCCACATCTGTGTCATGGAATTCTACTCAATATTGATCCAGAGCAGATTCCAGCATAAAGAGTAAAAACTTAAACACGTTGCAGGATTCCCCCAAAAGAGGCAATTAATATTTCATCCAGCAGAGCTTTACTGCTACTGAAGGCAAATGAACATAATGGTCACAAATCCAATATACATTCAGGATTGGCACTGTCCATAAGAAATCCAGTTGCAGCAGACTTAAACTTACAATAACTTATAGTAAGACTAAACCTTTATATTACATACAGAACACCACACCTGAAGGAAAGAGAGACAGAAAGAGAAAATGAAATCCAGGCTCCTTCTTGCCTCTTATAGTCAGCATGGCCTTGACAGAAGAGGTAACAGAACCAGTTTAAGCCAGCTGTACTCAACTTCTCTCAAGGAATAACCCAAACATCATGAACCTTCTGCTTGTTTCTTTCACACAAAGAAGCTTCCAGAACCCTCTTGAATTAATTAGAATAGGAGAGATATCTGCACATCAGATCAATACTTTCTGCACTAAGAAATGCAAACTGACAATCTGGCCTCCAGGCCTGATGTTCCCAACCCTCAGATTGCACTGGTCATCTCCAGCTGGTGGGTTCTCCATATGTCTGGGCCATTTTTGCACAGTAGTACAAAATTGAACCTCCCCCAATGTGTGTGAATGTGGCCACACCCACCCACCCAAATACACTTTATGTCGGTTAAATGGCTTGAATCCCGCCCCGCCCCCAATTGGGGATTTTAGCTTGTCCTCGTTCTAGTCACGAAAGAATTCTAAAGGAATGGTTGTTTATAAATAAGCAGTTGCTTCTTTTGCAGCAGCCTCTGAAAGGAGTTCAGTTGACAAACAAGATGTCAGTCAAGTTTGCCCACTATAGCATAGCTTATATATAAAACAGGATACAGTAATGATATGTGATTCAAAAACATTTGTGGGTTTCATGCCACAAATATGTATTTATTTGGGGTGAAGGGGCTTCGACCAGGAGCTCATTTATTGGGCATGATTTCAGCTGCGATGCGAAGCATGCTTCTCAGCGATAGATATGGGAACATTAGCTTTACTCTGTTCCTGAACCAAACGATCGGTGTGGCTCCAATATGTGCAGAGCTCTTCACCAGCATGAGCCGTTCTACTCTTGATTTGATCCAGACTCTTGATTTGTCTTAGCACCTCCTTGTGCGTTATGGCAAATCACTTGTGAAACGGATGTGGCCCAATTGCCTAGCTAAGGTGGATGAGTGTGAATCCTACTGGCCAGGCCTTTGCAAACACTTAAAGGAAAAACCGTCCCAGAGCTTTCCACTCTTTTTATGTTGGTGACACACTTTTTGGGCGTGCATCATTTTGTGACACAGTAGTTCAGTTTTACTAGCAAAGCAGAGGTTAAACTAACCTTTTCCCAGCCCCGTGAGGAGCACAGGGAGTGTTTGTGCGACACACCTACACACTGCAGCCAACACACTAAGGTGTCATGACAGACAGTTTGCATACAAATCTGTGAACATTTGCCAGAATCACTGGACTGAAGGTTAGATACGGATTCAAACCCATAGGCAAAACTCTTCTTGCTTTGTCATACGAATCCTGTTAGAAAGGGAGGGGACTGACTGGGAGGGAAAAACTCTAATGGAAAAAGATAATTTTTAAGGCGCCAACTCAACTGTAGAAGCTGAGTTGGACTGTGTAATACAGAGTCGTTTTTCTGGTTCCAAGAGCTGCTTTCTTCCCCACCTTTCTTCTGATGACCACCCATGGAGAGTTATTTTTGCTTTCTGCAGAAAGTCTTTAAGCAGCTCCCCTTGAAGACTAATCCCATATTAGCTGCACATGAGATTGGCAGGTTGCAATTATTAGGCCTCGCCTGCTTCCCCTGCAAAATCCAAGCTTATTATTTGCTTTTAGTCCGTTTCTATCAACAATCAAAGTTCCCTCCTTTTATTTTTTACGGCAATGGGCTTACTTGTTAGAATTGATGTGGAGAGTAACAACCTGTGTCAAGATCTTGTAATGATTCCAATAGAAATGTTAGCAAAAAACATTCTGTCCTGAAATGTCAAAGAGCCCTGAAACATTATTTTCAGTTAAAAATATCTTGGGGCTTTCTTTCTTTTTTTTGTATTTGGCAAACAGCAGGCACCTGCTTCCCCCCCCCCTTTCCTCTGCAGATATTTCTGTCTTTAATCTGCCTCTTGCAATTTCAGAAAGTGTAGCTGAAATCAGAATAAAGAGAAGGCTCTGGAAAACCAGAATGAATGTGTCAAATGCATACATACATACATACATACATACATACATGAGAACGAGAGAGATAATTAGTTTAATACACGTTTTGCAATGTGCTTGTGTTGCTGTGAATCAGATACAGTATATTGCAGGGCTGGGAAGGCATGCAGGTTGTTGTTGTTGTTTATTATTATTATCCTGAGAGTCACCAGCCAAAGCCAGGTGCAAAAGACATATGCTTAGAATTTAAAAAATCTGGCCCAGGGTTTTACCTTGAATACCAGAACTGAACTGATCTGATCTGTTTCTCTCCCTCCCTCATCCCCAACTACCACACACCCAGCTTCCTTCAGTTCAGCAGCCATACAGTCTAGGGGAGGAATCATTTGGTTGTTGCCACTGTTATACAGTTAGGAAGTGGGAGATCCTTGTTGATCCTTGCTTCAAATTGCCCAGAGATCTACTAGCAGATCCTGATCCACCCCGATGCATTGGGAATCTTGGCTCTATCACAGGCATAGGCAAACTCGGCCCTCCAGATGTTTTGGGACTACAATTCCCACCAGCCCTGACCACTGGTCCTGTTAGCTAGGGATGGTGGGAGTTGTAGTCCCAAAACATCTGGAGGGCCGAGTTTGCCTATGCCTGCTCTATCCCTTTGTGGTGTAAGACCAACTTGTCCCATCTATCGTGCCATTGGGGGTCAAGCCTCCATGTGGGATGCTGAGGAGCCGCTGAGAGACAGTGGGCATGAGAGTGGGGAGACAGCCTTTCGTCCCAAGGGCTATGGGAGGGGTCTTGTATCCTTAGCACAGGACTGCTGCGGGACTACAACTCCCATGATCCCTGACTTGCTGGTTGATGGAAGATAGAGCCCAATAACACCTGAAAGTCTACAGATCTCCCACCTCTGCTGCAGTATAATATAGAGCATTTGATTCATTAATTGAGGACTCGGCTACGTTAGCCATGTTACAACACTATAACTGTGTTATAAGCATGCGGCACCAGATGGCGCTGTAGAGCACAAAACTTTGTCTATGCGACTTTAATAGAGTATTTTTTTCTTTTGTTATAATGATTTAATTTATGACTTATAGTGGTTTTTCCCCGGGGTGTAGTAGATACAGCCTTAAAATAATATTTGGGGCTTGTTAAAGGAATAACTGTATAAATGTTGCCACATGAATTGTTTTAATAGTTGGAGAAAAATCTTCACTTTTCCATTGCTCTCCCTCCCTCCCTCCCTCCCTCATCTCTCAGAATCCGAATCTGAAGGCGAAGAAAACCAAGATGGCTGAACAAAGCACAAAACGTATTCGCTGTGGCCGGCTGCTTCTTGCGGAATTTTGTACCGTTCAAAGAGAAAGACTCTTACTCCAGTGTCATACCGAAAATTCTAGGCTAGGCTTTCCTTTTGTTTAGAAGAATAAAATGTTGGAGCCCTGAGACATTAAATGCTGAGACTCTTCCTCTGGCGCACTGTACACTATTGTAGGCAGAGGCATTCAGCAAGGAAACAACATATAGGAAAACTGAAGTAATATCCTTTAAGGACTCCTTTTTTATTAACAGTCTTCAGGTACTACATATGAACACTTCAGTGTTTCTCCATAGGGATGTTCTGTGCGTGTAGCTCAGTATTTGCTTGTGTGTGATTTGACATAATCACATTTTGGGGAAATTAAATGGCTTTTAAAAATCTTACTTTCATGTTTCTGCGCATTTTTCTTTTGCTTCAGAAGTGGGCTTGCATGTGACTAACTACTGCTAACCTTCCGCAGAAGGATTTAATAATAATTTTGCTATTTGCAAAATAGTTGCCCCAGCCACTCTGGGCAGATGTTTTAGAAGGTCCAGTCTACACTTTACCTCAGGCTTTGCCAGCCTTGTGCTCTCTGGGTATTTGGGGCTACAACTCCCATCAGCCCTAGCAAGCAGGACCAAGCTGGCTGAGGATGATGGGAGTTGTTGTCCGAAGTATCTGTGGGAAACCAGATAGGCAAAGGCTGCTCCACCTGGTGAATGTGGCAAGCTTCTTCCTTGGTGTGACTCTCTCTGCATCATCATTTTTACACCTGTGACAGACTGCTCTAGGAACATGGGGTGCTGGGTTCGAAACTCTTTGGGTCCTTGCAGGGTTTCCATGAAAAATGTGTGGCGGTTATCTGTTCCAGGAGAGATGAGAACCCTGTGGCCTTCCAAATGTTTCTGGACTGCAACCCTAATAATCTGTATCCACTGGCCATGTCAGTTGGGGCTGATGGAACACAGATCCCCTAATCCTTGTTACAGCAAAGTGAAAAACAACTTTCCACATGGAAACGTTAATAGCATGTTTACCAACCCTAAAACACCTATATTAGAGTTGAGTTTGGGTTGCTTTGTTTTTAAATAAGAAATAACAACTTTGGGAATTCCCTGTCCTCTCTCATACAAGTCATCCATTGCTGTTTTTCATTCTATTATATATAGCTTAAAACCCATTTCTATTAATCCGAACCTGTAATTGGTTATAATAATCGATTAAAACAACTTTTTAGAGACTTCTGTATATGTTAAATAAATAAATTTTAAAACACTGACTGATTAATTGGCAGGGTTTTTTGTTTTTATTTAAGGACGACAATACAGTGGTACCTCTGGTTGCAAACGGGATCCGTTCCAGAGGCCCGTTCGCAACATGAAAAGAACGCAACCCGCAGCGGGGCGTCTGCGCACGCGCAGGTTGTGATTCGCCACTTCTGCGTGTGTGTGTGACGTCATTTTGCGCGTCTGCGCATGCGTGAGCGGCGAAACCCGGAAGTAACCGTTTCCAGTACTTCCGGGTTGTTGCGGGACGTGACCTGAAAGAACATAACATGAAGTGGACGTAACATGAGGTATGACTGTATTTTTTAATACAAGGACTTGTAAATTGGTAGCAAGCATCATCTCAAGAGGCAATTCGCTTTTCACAAGATAGGGGTGGGGAAAGCCTTTTATTAAAACAATGCTTGCTACAACACAGGAGTATTATTTAAAAACAAACTAGCATTTACCCTTGTGAAAATAAATATGAATGTAATTGATTGGTTATACAATTTATGGTTAGGGAGCTATCCTACAGCAAGATCTGCTGGACTGGATCCAGCAGATCTTCAGCTGAGCCAGGAGATTCCCAACGCAGCCAGGCTATGCCGGCTTAGCTCTGTCATCTTCACCTCATCTGGAGAGAGACCTCAGTGTAACTCCTCAATCCTGGCTCAGCCAGGACCCGGCCAGCTGAGCTGATCCCAGTGGATATTAGGCCAGCATATGCCCTGAAAAGGGGGTGCTGTGGTGGGACAGAAATCAGCCTTCCCCAACCTGGTGCCCTCCAGATGTTTTGGACTGCAATTCCCACCATCCCTTGAAGTTGATGGGAGTTGTAGTTTAAAACATCTGGAGGGCACCAGGTTGGAGGAAGGCTTTAACCATTAAAGCCCACTGCTTCTGATTCAAAGTACAGCCGTACCTTGGTTGTTGAACAGAATCCGGTCCGGGAGTCTGACTTCCGAAAACGTTCGACAACCAAGGCGCGGCTTCGAATTTGCTGCAGGAGCTTCCTGAACGCAAGTATAAGCCGCGTCGGGCGTTCAGCTTCCAAAGAACGATCCCAAACCAGAACACTCACTTCCGGGTTTGCGGCGTTCAGGAGCCAAAACGTTTGACTCCCAATGTGTTTGGCTTCCAAGGTAAGACTATAAGCTTTGTCATCTAAGTGGAACATAGAATAGCATAGCATGGTTTCACTGAAGTCGCAGCACCAAAAGTAGAAAGCAAAATCCTTCTAGCAGACAGCTCTTGGCCAAGTAGTAATTTAAGGTGTATTGCTTTCTGAAAGCAAAATGTAAAGGGCTTACGGTAACTATGACAACTAAATAATGAAATTGCTAATAGAACAGTGTGTGACCATATCCAGTTATGCCTGCAGGGAAATAGTGAGGAGCTGTAGGGTGCCCTTATGCAGTGATGTCACTGTGGGCAAACAGTGCTGTCTTTAAGCCACTGAAGTACAGAGAATATTGTTAAATACGTGTCAGCTCCATTAGTGGATTTTTTTTTAATTTTTTTTTTTAAAGAGAGGTAGCCATGTTAATCTTCTGCATCAGAAACAATAGTATTTTGCAGGATCTGAAAAGCGGATAACTTTCTCATTGGGGGTGCATGTTTCTAGCCCACAATAACAGGGCCTCCTGTTGTTGTTGTTAAAATTTGTATACTGCCATATACCCATAGATTTCAGGGCAGTTCACAACATACACACATACATATATATATATATATATTTGTGTGTGTGTTGGTGTATGTTGGGGGGGAGAGAGTATATATACAATATTTATATGTGTATACAAAATGTGTGTGTGTGTGTGTGTGTATATATACACACACACATATATATATACACATATATATACAGTATGTATATATACTAGATGATGTATGTGCATGTATGTATGCATGTGTCCACACACACACACAGTACAATATATTACATCTTGAGCATGTTGGCTGACCTTGAAGAGTACCTGTTTTTTACCTTTAGCCAGAGCAGTCTAAACAGCATCAGGAATCTGCAGTGGGGGAAGAACTATGGGCTAGAAAATTTGGCTTTTGCTTTGGATAGAACTGACCTGCTGGCATCTTCTGTAAACCCATTTTTGAGAAACCAAAACATCCACCTTGCTGCCTAAGCCATTTCCCCCGCTCCTTTAAAGCCATCATTGAAATGTCAAAATAAACAATCAATTGTGAAACACAGAGTAGTGCATAGGAATCTGCTTTATACTACATCAGAATATCGGTAATTGTCCAGCTAGACCAGGAGGGGGCAACCTTTTGTAGTTTGACGGCAATGGGTGGAGCCAGAGACAAGTGTTCTAGATTAACCGATCCAGGAAAAAAAAGATTTACCTGTTTCCATTTTTGTCATGTCTACCACATATTAGAATATCCAAACCTATATGGCTGTCTTCAGAAGTAAACCCTGCTGGGTTTGGTGGGGTTATTCTTTTAAAAAAGTATGCAGCAGATTTAAAATAATGTAGATACAACAGACCAATGCAGCTACTGTTCTAGAAAGTCAGTGAAAGTAATTTCTTCCTGACTTTAGTGTGCTACTCACATTTATACACAACCTTTTACATTGCGATTTGTTCTCAGGCAGCTTCTTTTCTCCAATCCATAAAATGGGAGTGGGTGGGTGTTAAAATGCCCCTTATGTAGTCTTAAATTACATAAACAGAAAAACAATGAGGAAATGAGCAGAAAGAAAGGAACTCCAGTGGCACCAAGGGCCTCAACATGGCCCTGTGGGGTGCAAGTTGCTCACCTGTGATTTAGATCAGTCTTGTCTAGGGTCTCAGGTCTGGGGATAGTCTCAGTGCTATCCGATCCTTTTAATTGGAGCAACAGGAAGTGGGCCGCATGTAAAAACGTGCAAGGTGTTACCACTGAATTGTAAAGGTAAAGGGACCCCTGACCATTAGGTCCAATCGTGACCAACTCTGGGGTTGCGGCGCTCATCTTGCTTTATTGGCCGAGGGAGCCGGCGTACAACTTCCGGGTCATGTGGTCAGCATGACTAAGCCGCTTCTGGTGAACCAGAGCAGCGCATGGAAACGCCGTTTACCTTCCCGCCAGAACGGTTCCTATTTAATTGTAGCCCTCCCCAAAGACCTTGCTCTGTGTGTTCACGTTTGTTTCCCAGACTGTGAAATATCAATGGCTGCTCTGCACTTCAACAGTCTAGGAAACAGGGAAGGAGCATCATCATCAGAAGAGTGTAGAAAAGAGAACTCGCCTGGTGTTTCTCTTGAGGAATCAGTGGGTCCAGAGGATCCTTACATCCCTGACAAGGACAAATAGCCTTTTATGCACAAACACTTGGTGCCAAGCCATGCAATAGCGTTATTCAAACAAATATGTTTATATGGAAACAAAGGGTCTTTATTTTTTAATTTGGTTGAAACCGATCTTCCTAATAGTCATAAAAGGATACTTGCATGTTCAACTCCACTCAAAGGTTGTTAAAGCCCCCTTTGTTGACTCATGGTGCAGTCTGTAAGAAAAAGGAAGGAATAGAACATTATCCTGCAGAAGGGTTGCTTTGCTGGATGGATGTTATTAAATGTCTGCTTCTGTAGCAATTTCCTGAGGAGTTACTAAGGGCCAAGAGGAAATCCCTAAAGTGTCAGCATCTGGTGCTTTGTTCTCTGAGTTGTTCTTATTCATATCCCATCATTTGAACTGGGCTCTGATGCCTATATTTGATGAAAAGTACTAACTTAAACACAGATCTTGACTTAGGATGATGGTGTTGTGGAAGGAAGCGGATGCAATTTTTTTGTAAAATCGACATGACTTCAGAGAGTTGGCTTCTTCCTCACATTTCTAACATTTCCTCAACAAAGGTCTCAATTTGTGAACTGTATTTGCTTCCTTGTTGGAAGATGGGAGACTAGACCACTCCTCCAGACCAGGCAACCTATTCATTGAATAATTGTCGAAATCTGTTTGCAAAAAGCTCGTGAAATGGTTAGATTCTATCTGGTTTTCACTGAGTGTTTGTTCTGAGTTGTTTGTAGGGAGGTTATATGGCAATGAGCATTCCTCCTGATTTACTTATAGGGTGTTTATATATCTTCCTATTAATCATTTGTTTATTTCACACTTTTCAATGCATTTCCCCATCACTTTCCTAACTGCAAACAGTCCACTTCCCTTTTAAAGTGAATTTGTTGTGCTAGGGCACTTTAACCTAAATTTCCCAGTATGTGCTAGAATCCCTCCCACAAAACACTGACAGCCATGGGGTTTTATAAAGTGTAAGATAGACTAAAGGAGCTTTTATTCATCATGTTTGGTTACAAATTAGCTATGCTGATACCATCACTGAACCCTACCATGGTTAGGAATGATACATGGGTTGTTTGGGGCATGCATGCCTGAACCAGATATCTAAAGGGCTCTTATGGCTGGCCCTACCATGAGACATGATAAGATAGCTGCTTCAGGTGGCAAAATTTGGGTGTCATGGAGATTGGCAATAGTTCTAACCTACTGAGCACATACTATCTGTGCAAACTTAACTGAAATGAACATGAGCCACACAAGATCAGCCCTTAGGCAGCTCCCATACGCAGACCTGGGGTAGCAGAGTGTACACTCTGTATGTATGAAATATTCATCTCCGTCATGAACAGAGTGAGTTGCCTGAGGTGAGCCTGTTTCTCAGCCTCTGACCCCTATCTACAACATGGGGATAAGAATACTGACTTCCCTTACAGTGGGGCGGGGAACCTGTGGTCTTCTAAATGTTGTTGGACCCATCAGCCCCAGTCAACACACAAAAATAATGGATGAGGAAAATGGAAGAGGCAGGCACACAACTCCTATGATTACTAAGATGTCATGGTGTGTTAAGCTGCATTTCATTTTAACATAATAATCTCTGCTAGAGTTTTGCTGTTGAGGAGGAAGCATGGACTATTTATTTAAATAGGGTAGATGAGCATTGGATGAACATCTTCACAGGCATAAGCCTTAGCCCAGATCTTTTAGCTGCAGCTTGATTCTGATCTGCCGATAAATGAAGTTTGTGGTTTCTTTGGACTTGCTTTGCTCCTAATCTAATGCAAATCAGTCAGAATAAAAATTGCACTGAAGCCTTTGGTGAAAAAAAGAACAAGTTTGGGTTCTATTTAGTCTGAAGTGTCATTAATTGCAAAGCAACTGATCCTACATATTATCTAAACCCTGCACTTGGAAACAGCAACTTTGTGAAACCTGCTTGTTTATTTATTTGCATGGGAAAGTCTTTCCCTTGCTGGAAGCTAGTCAGGCAGTATTTGAGACATTTGTGCCCTCTAGTGTGACTTACTGGGTGTTGCATGCAGATTCCATTTATATTTCAAGTTATCTGAACCTAAAAACATCACAGTTGTCATTCAGTGGTTGGGCTCTCACTATCAAGTTAAAATGAAGTCAGATATTTATTTATTCTTCTCTTAATTATCTACTACATTTATGTGCTGCTTTTCATCCAAGGCATTCAATTTGGTCAGCGTTTCATTAAAATGCTTTCCTCTTAACCAGTGCTATTTCTCTGGAAAAAGAGGGGCCGGAACTCCCCACGAACACCTCCCTCTTTCTCTTAGAATGGCAATGGCACCCACCTGAGAGGTGCCAGAACTGAGTTCCTGTGAGTTGCCCTTGGGGGGAAAGCCCTGCTCTTAACAATCTGTGGGGGTAATCCTATGGCAAGCCCTGCTGGGATGAGAAGTTTAGAATAAGGACGTAAAGAAGACAAGCCTTTCAGATGCTTGTGGAAAACCCACAAACAGGACAGCCAGTGTAAATCCCTCAGAAGGGACAGTCCTAGGGTGGGGTCTTAAACCCATTTAGTTTGGATACATGACACAGCAATCCAGCACAGAACACTCCTGTAAAGGCTCCCCCCCCCCCCCGCCAGGGTTAGGCGGAGCAGCAGCAACAGCCAATCAGGGGCGGAACAGGGTAGGGGTGGACCGCACCAGATGTCATCATGGAGGGGGGTAACATTTGGTGTGCCGCCAGCCCATGACTCCCACCTACCCTGGGCCGTCAGGGGAAGGGGGTGAGTTCTGCTGCTCTGCCGGTGGCCTTCCCCCTTCGTTTTGACAGTCGTGTACTGTCAGGCTGCTGCAGTGGGCATGCAGGCAGACAGGGAGATGACGGGAAGGAGGCTGGCAAGCAAACAAGCAGAGGGTAAAGGGGAGGGGAGAAGCAGAAGCTCCCTCAGGTCAGGACCCAAACCCTGTCACCCCCCAAAAAGCTCAAAAACTTTGGCCAACCCTCCCCTAAAAATAGCTCAACAACGTCGGCCAACATTTTCTATTACTGGGGAATGATCAGGAGCTCACCAAGTTAGTGGCTAAATATCTCTCTTTTTTATATATTTTTTTGGCCATCGAAATACACTGCAGACATCTGATCTCCCTGGAGACCAAGAGATATGATGATAGACTGTTCTGCCTCCTTTCTTTTAGCAAATGTTTTGTGCCACTGGGGAAGTGGTAATTCTGTATTGATTTGTTTTAGATGTTGTATGTGATGCCAATAAAAGTTTTATGATATGACACGAACTTTGGCCAACCCTCCCCTAAAAAAAGCTCAAGAACTTTGGTCAATCCTTCCCTAAAAGAAGTTCAACAACTCCTGGCAATGACAATGGGGAGATCACAGCCAGTATTTTTATACTGTAAGTAGAGGGCAGTCTCTTGGGAGTCCAACTAGATCTCAATGTGTGTGTTGGGAGGGTGACAAGAAATTTTCTGCACCGGGTACCACCTGGCCCTGCTATGCCACTGCAGCCAAGCTGCCAAATGGAGATTTGATCTGGCGTAACTTTACCATGGCTTAATTTCACTTGCTTGCTTTTCACTTGTGTCTAGGGTTGCTCTTTAAGCAGCATCAGACAAAAAAGAAAATGGGAGAGGGGAGAGAAATATAAAGCAACTCCGAGAATCCTGAATATCCTTTAATTCTGTTCAATAATGATGGTACGCAACAACCAGGATGTAAGGGTGTTATGAGAGGGGTAAAGCCAAAACAGTACTTGGTTCCAGCTAAGATTCTATGTGTGCTTCCAAAATTAATGTGACAATAAATTAACAGGTCTCCATCCCAAGTAAATTCAGACTTGTGGGTTACTGTGCCAAAAAAAAAGTCTGGGAACCACTGCTGAAACAGATGAGAATGGGGTGGGGGATGGAAGTGAAGAGAGCAGAGTTCAAATATTTTGTTTAGCCACGAAGCCCACTGGATGGCTTTGGGCCAGTTAATTCTCTCTCAGCCTGCGCTACCTCACAAGGTCGTTGTAAAGATAAAAGAAAGCAGGAGGGGAGAACTTTTAGGCCATGCCAAGCTGCTTGATGGGTTAAAATAGGATTATTTCACACTCTTCTGGTTCTTTTAGGCAGCTACGTTTCTTGGAGCAGGAGCAGAGATATGAGTGGCTATGTGCCTTTTGAAACCATATGGCAGAACAGCAGGAGGCCTTCTGGGCTGCTAAATGCTTCTCCAGCTCCTTCGAGCTCATTAAGCAGACCTTCATTTTCAACTGGTGATGTTTTATTTAACAGTGAGCGGGTCTCGTTTTTTCCGCTTTCCCATCAGCTGCTGCCATATTGCTGGGTGATGTCAGCCTGTCACCAACCAGAGAGGCTCAGATTGGGAAGTCAGGTCGCAATCTGCCTTATCTGGTGCTGTGCTGGGGGATTTGTCACCTGCAAGGCGAGCTGCGACAGTTCGCTTCCAGCTGAATAGGCTCCCTGGTATTGACAAGCTGACAGGAGATTAGCCTAGTGTTAAAAATAATAGGTACAAAAATAAGAAAATGAGACTCGCCAGGGATGGGGTTGAAATCTGATTTTGTTTGCAACTGATACTTGACTGAAGCGCAATTGTGCTTCAAAATTTGCACTTCTCAGAATGTTGCAGTGCAGTTCTCCAGCCAAATAACGCGTGCAAAAATGGATGTATTAGGGGAAAGTGTGCCTAAAAATGCATATATTAGTGAAACAAACACACAAAAAGGCATTATATTAGGGGGAAATGCTAACCAGAAATTGTGTATATTTGTCAAAATGCGTGCCAAAAGTGGGAGAAATTTGTACTAAGATGCTGGTAAATTTTACAGTGATGTAAAATTTTAATTTCTCCTTGCTACAGAAATGAGGAGCCATGAATTTAAGATGGGGGGAAATGAGATGCTGAACTGACAGATTCGTTCATCCCTATACTGACCTTAAAACTCTGGCAATACTCATATATACACAATCTTCACCCCCTAAATATGTAAAAGCCCCACGCTGCAGTCACGTCAACCTTTTGTATTAGGTTGCACTTCAAAAGTCACCATAAAGCCAGCAAACCAAAGCTCTGCACCAGGTTGGACAATGAGCAAATGCCAGACCAGCTCCAGGTTTGAAGAGGCCTCAGCACATATTTCATGGGCCACGTTGGGTTGCCTTCTGTTGGGTTACACAGCTGCCTAGCGAGAGAAGGTAAGGTAAACTGTACAAGAAATCCACACAACTGAAAACCATCAAAAATAGCAGGGTCCCAAATGGTTATAGGATGGATGAATCCCTTTCGATCATGGTCAACTGCCCTGCCCATGGAAAGAAAAAGAGAAAGTCTGCTACATGGCCTTGTGTTGCTGGAGGGGAAAAATATACAGAAATGAGAACATTAAAGGTTGAAATGTGGGTGAGCAAGGTTGAGCAAGTGAAGGTTGGAATGCGAAGGTTGTCACTGCAAGAGAAGGATGGAAAAACAGGTATGCAGGAGCTATTGCTAGAACTGTTAAGGACAAAGGAAGGAAGGAAAGATAAGAAAGCTACTACACCTCATGATTATAGTGGAAGGAAGCACAGCCATAAAAGGCCTAACTGTCCCTTTGCTTGGAAGTGTATAAAAGCGTGTGCTGTTCTCATATTTGCTGTGCCACCCTTCAACTACTTGCTGGCTACTACGTTGTGTTTAAGAAAACAGACCTTCCAAGTGTCCCTATTTTCCAGCGACAGTCCAGGATTTACAGAAGCTGTCAGGTATCTGAATTGATCCCAGAAGGTCCAAATTCCTTAGTATGCCCCTATTTTCACACACACACACATTTATGCATTTTACATATCTTAGTACAACGATTATACAATTGTCATCATTTATCTTACACTCTTTAGCTCCCACACACATCCCTCTGTGGGGGTCTTGTTTACCGTAGTCCTTGTTGAGCTGTATCACCTTAATTACCACCCCTCTTCTGCTTATTTTTAACTGCTGCTCATATATCTAACCCCACTTACCTGATTTGTTATGTTTCTTTAAATATTCACCAAAGTATTCCCACTCTTCTTTTATATCCAACTCATCCCCATTTCTTATCTTTGCAGTCAACATTGCTAGCTCAGCGCATTCTATTAGCTTATTCTGCCAGTCTCCTTTTGTGGGACTATTTTTGTCCTTCCACCTTTGGGCATAAATTATTCTGGCTGCTGTTACTGTGTAGAGGAAAAGAATAAGCACTTTCTTGGGTATTTCACCCTCTACTATACGTCCCTATTTTCATCGGAGAAACATTGGAGCATATGGAGTTATGTGAACCCCAAACCAAGAAGTAACTATACAACCTTTAAAAGACATCTGAAGGCAGCCCTGTATTGGGAAGTTTTTAAAATGTTTTATTATGTTTTTATATATGTTAGATGTTGTCCAGAGTGCCCGGGGCAACCCAGTCAGATGGGTGGGGTATTATTTATTATTATTATTATTATTATTATTATTATTATTTAGAATGTCCCTATTTTTATTGAAAAAATGTTGGAGGGTATGCAAAAATGTCCTGTTTGACTGACAACTGGATCTCATGGGCTGTCCAGGCAGAACCCACAGGTTATTGAGTCCTGAACCCCAATACCCTAACAGCACCACTCGTCTGTTCAATTCACTCACGGATAGCCAGAGAAGCCATGGGGTCACCAGGGGAAAGTTGCTGCCCTTTCCCATGGAAGCAATGATTCCCGCTGCTTAGATATATTGTCCACTTGCCAGCGATGCCATTGACAGACAACAAAGGGGCCTGAAAGAAACAAGGACTGTGCGTGAGACGGAGCAGGGATAAAGGAGGCTCAAAACAAAGCAAGCAAGAAGAATACAGACACTGCAAGTCTGCTTGCAGCAGCAATATTACGTGAGTGCAAAAGAACTGTGCTATGCTATGCATAAAATATCAGCCTTGGGAAGAAGACACTATAGCTATAGCACCACCTGTCTTAGAATATTTGCACCATAGGCTTTGCATCACTTCTGCGGGTGTGCAAAAATATTATGTGCAGCTACATGTATATTCAGTGGGGTTGGGTGAACCAGGTTTATCTTGTCCATTTGTCTGTTGCTTGCTGTCCATCAACATGTGAAGTTGCGTGCCAAAAGCTGAATCTTGCACACATACACACATGTGGCTTTTGATAACAATCACTGATTTTGCACTGCAATCCTACCTATTTCTGCTCAGAATTAAGCTCCACTGAGTTCAATGGGAGTTACTTCCAGGTAAATAAGTGTGTAAGGCTGGGTTTCATGAAGGAAGGGTTAGCATTTCCCCAGCAACTTGTTTGAGTCTTGGGGGGAAATGTGACTTCTCTCTATCAGATTAAACAAACTGGGTAAAATATATTTGGACTCACAGTACAAAGTTCACCTCCAGCTGTGATTACTTCGCTTCCTAAACTTTGCAGTCTTGCAGAGTGAAACTGTCCTCACACACAAAAAAGTTATTTGTGCCTTTGAAAATGTGATGTTGCAAATGTTATTTTTGGTTGCTTGCTTCTAATTCTCCCCAATTCTTGCTTGCTTCCCCAGCCCCACTCCAGGTGAGAAAAAGACTGCCAGTCAGTTGGGGGAGGGGATCCCCTCTTAATAATGCATGATGGAAAGGGACCAGGACAGTGGAAGGCGATGCTGAAAAATTCAGAGCTATGACAAAGGGAACATGACTCTGGTTATTTGATCTCTGCTTTTTTGCTGGCTCCACCAAATCATGCGCTTGTGTAAAGTATCGGAGTTGCAGGAAAGGCTATGAAGTTGTGTTAATATGTCTAGACAGCAGATCTTTTTTTGTAAACTACCTTAAAACTCAAATTTGCACGTCCTTACGGATAAAAGATTTAGCACTGCAGTCCCATTTCAGAAAATGCATGGATCCCAGTGAACAGCTTCATGCTTACAGGATGGCAGTTCCTTGCATGCATTCCTACATTGTTTTGTTGCACTCAGAATAATGGACCAGTTAAAAAAAGAGAGAGCATCTCACATGCATAAACCAGTGCAGAATGTCACATCAAAGAGGCACACCAGGAGCCCAATGTGGATCAGGTGTACAACTGCTACCTACTCTGGCTCTCAACAAGAGGAATAATAGAATAACAGAATTGTAGAGTTGAAATGGAAGCTGAGGGTCATCTAGTCCAACGCCCTGCAATGCAGGAATCTCATCTAGGTCATATATGATCTAATTCCTGTCTTCCACTGCCTCCCGCAGTTTGGTCTGACCAAACTGCGGGAGGCAGTGGAAGACAGGAGTGACTGGCGTGCTCTGGTCCATGGGGTCACGAAGAGTCGGACACGACTAAACAACAACTGCTTAGAAACCTCCAAGGAAGGAGAGTCCACCACCTCTTGTCACAGCAGCTGTCACTGTCAGAAAAGTTCTTCCCAATGTTTAGTCAGAATCTCCTCTCTGGTTACTTGGTTCAAGTCCTACCCTCCAGAGCAGGAGAAAACAAGCTTGCTCCATCTTCCAACGTGACAGCCTTTTAGATATTTGAAGACAGCTTTGTGACGGACAGCAGAGTCTGGTGATGCAGTTCCTCTGAAATTCCACCAGTGTGCTAGAGCCTCTCACAGACTGGCTACAGAGTCAGTTTGTGGGGGGGGGGGAGAATAAAAGGAGCAGTTTCTGAGGGAGAAGATTAGACAGGGGTTTGGTTTTGAGAAGGGGCAAAGGTTCAGGTTAAGAAATATGGTTTGATTGGAGTTGGGAATTAGGGAATGAGATAAGGAGAACTGGTTCTGAGTGAAATTCAACTTACGCACTGAGGAGACTATCCATAGCGAGAGGACAGAGTGTTGCAGCTTGGATAGGGAGACCTGGTTGAGGGTCTGGGAAAGGTATAGAGACAAGAGTGTCCTGGGAAGGCTGTGAGTGAACCAGGAAAGGTAGATCTTGTGCAGGCTACCTGGGTGCCAGTATAGCCAGGAGGGAAGAGTTTTTCTAGGTACTGAAGACTCCTAGCCCAAGGGGTGAGGTGATCCCCTGGGTCTGAGAATACCTCAGGTGTAGGATTGTTAAAAGAGTGGGTAACAGAGGAGAAGTGAACCAAAGTATTAAGCTATAAAGGAAGCGGGATGGTGTCAAAAGTATTTAATTGTAATATCTAAGTGACAGAAATGGAGTCAAGCATTTTACCAACTATTCTAGAAACCTGGATATTTACCACCTGAAGTGTTAACACCTGATTTTTTTGTAACTGAAGTTTACAAAGAGTTGTTCCTATAGTATTGTGTTTAAGACTGAGTCATCTCATAGTTACTTAAAGTAAATAAGTTAACGTCTGCCTGAAAGAATGCATATCTTGACTCACTTCATTTAATAAACTTCTTTTTGTTTAATAAAGCTTTTCTTTAGAGTCTAAATCATTAAGCTTTCCCTCACACAATTCCCCCACTAGATAATCTGTGGTAAATTGTAGAAATGTGTTTAATTGGTATACTGTAAGGTGGGTGCACTATATTTAATTGAGGGCAGTTAGTGGATCTGCCACGTTATTAATTGGTGGTAATAAGTGGTGCTACCATATCTCCCCTCAGTCTCCTCTTTTCCAAACTAAACACACCCAGCTCCTTCAACTGTTCCTCATCAGGCTTAGTTTCCAGACCGTCGATCCTCTTGGTTGGCCTGCTCTGCACACACTCCAGCTTGTCAACATCCTTTTTAAATTGTGGTACTCAGAACTGGAAACAGTATTCCAGATGTGGTCTGACCAAGGCAGAATAGAGTGGTACTATGACTTCCCTTGATCTGGACACTATACTTTTGTTGATGTAGCCTAGAATAGCATTAGCTTTTTCTTTCTTTCTTTTTTGCTGCTGCTGCATCACACTGTTGACTCATGTGAAGCTTGTGGTCCACCAAGACCCCTAGATCCTTTTCACATGTACTATATTAGTAAGCCAGGTATCCCTGGCTTTTGTCCTTTCACCCACATACATGTTTCATCCATAATGCTTCTCAAACCAGTTCGAATATGTTCTATCCTTTGCAGCTGGGCAGCCTACTTGCATCTTTCTACCTATTGCATTTTCCCTCCTTTTGACTTTGCTGCATGAAATGTGACTTGTGCATGACATAGCATCTGTGCCAACTTGCTCTTTAAACTGTGGACTTGCCACTCCAAATATTGACACAGGCCTTTATCTTTTCACCCTAGCTAGCTGGGCGATTCACTGAAATAAAACGCCTCAAGTGTGCAGATACTCATGACCGTTCCTGTTATATTGACCAACTGCATAATGGAGTACAGAGTTCATAAAGGTTGTCAAATACATGGCAGAAGTGGAACTCTGGGAGTTAGTTAATATAGAGACTGAAAGCCCAGTAGTGCTCACTGTGGCCATATGCATAATATACATTTATAGTGCTATGACACCAAACAGTTACGGCTTCCCTCAAAGAATTCTGGGAGCTGTACTTTGTTAAGGGTGCTGTTGTAGCTAAGATAACCTGAGACAGGTGGTTACAAAGATTTAAATCCTAAACACTATTACTAGAGAGTGTAGACTGCATTGAGCACAGTGGGACTTACTTCTGAGTAAACACACATATTTCCCCTACATTTATAAGCTGCCTGATTGTAATCAAACTTCTAAGTCTAAGAGGTTTACCACCCCCACCCCCAAAAACCCATAGCATTGCACCATAACCAAAATTTTATTCTGATGATGTTGATGCTGCCTTCAGTCTCAGGGTGGCAAGGAACCTGGCATATAAAAAAATAAGAACAGTTTCAAAATACGATTCATCCTCCAACATACAGTACTTTAAACAATGGTCCAGATAACTATTGGGATGCACCTATTCCTTCTGAAAGAACACAGAGACCCATACGATTTCCTGAAGGCTGATTGACTGATTGATTGATTAGACTGCACACAACCAAAGGTGATTGATTAGAACAGATGGTAGGCAACTGACTGGAGTAGCCAACCTGGTGCCCTCCAGATGTTATTGGATTCCACTTCCCATCCCCACTGACTATTGGACCTGGAGCCCACCACCACGTGGAGGGTACCACGTTGGCTACCCACCGTGGTCGATCACTGAAAACCCACGAACCCGCAGAAAATGGCGCAAAGCGCTTTTTGACGCCGGTGCTCTTAGCTGCTCCCTCCTCTCCTGGAGCAACCAGAAATAGGCGTGCGCCTGTTTGGCTTTCGGGGCGCCTCTGGCTCTGCCATTTCCTCGCGCGCAGGCACGATCGAGGCGCCCCTCCCTTCCCGGATCTCGGCCCCCGCCGGGTCAGCGGGCCGGGCGCCTATTTGCATATTTTTACCTTTGTCTCCTCCGGCCAGCCAATGGGCGCGCGCGGCTGCTCCTCCTGGCCCGGCCCCCTCGAGCTTCCCATAGCTGGTGCAGCCGCCGCTTCTTCCAGCTAGCTGGGAAACAGGGGCTTCTCTGCCGCCCTCGCCGCATCTGGTCCTTTCTGCCAGGAGCGTGCGATCCTCCGGCAGCTGAGGACCGCTCCTCAGCCAGCCAAAGAGGGGGTGGGGTAGAGTAGATCCACACCCCACACCCCCAGCTATTGAAATCTACTCGATCGGCAGGCGATCGCCGCAGTAGCGGCGGCCACAAGCGCAGAGGCGCGATGGTTTGCGGCGGCTTCTCCTGCTCCAAGAACTGCCTGTGCGCCCTCAACCTGCTCTATACGGTGAGTGGAGGCGCACGTCGAGGGGAGCCGGGCGGGGCGCGCCTCCCTGGCCCACGCGGGGAGCCTGGCGCGCCTCTTTTCCCTCGCCGCCCGGAGGCGTTCGGCCCCACCTCTCCCTTTCTCCGGTGGGTCGGGAAAGGGCCACCTTTGAGGCCTGGGCGGTCGCCAAGCGGAGCCTCCCGAGTTGGCCTGGGAAACCGGGTAGCCAACGGCCCCTGAAAAGCCGCCCGGCCCCTTAGGCGCGCCGGCTGCACCTGTTGGGGTGAGGCGGAGGAAGGGGCCAGCTTGCAATCCGCTCCCTTTCTCCGCCTTGACGCTGGTGTAAAGGGCTGCGTGGCCACAAGCCTGGTTTTTTTTGGGGGGGGGGTCCCTTTTCCGGAAGCGAGCTCCTCGCTTGGTTTTTTTGGGTGGCGCTGAAATTTCCCCCATCGAGTTTGCCCACCTTGCCCCTATGCCTTTAACACGAGTGCAGAGCAGGCAGTAATAATTCAGCGTGGTCTCTCCCCCTCCCAACAGTGGGGGAAGCTTCACTTGTTGAGCTTCTGCCTGCTAGGCATCGGTTTCCAGGAACAAGCAGACACCTGCCAGGAGAAAATGGCAAAAGGGGTGCTGTGGGTCATATTAAGCTGGAAAATCTTCCATGACGTAGCCTTATATTCAAAAAAAGAACTGGGCCAGGCAGCAGGTAAACTTGACATCTACCTTTCCCCCTTAGCTCTTATCCTTTACATGCCATGTTTACTACACCTGCCAGGTGAGGAAGTCAATTCTGCCCTGTGAACCTTATAAACTCCCTAGTTTCCAAGGTACTGCAGGATGTTAGCTGCAATCCTTTCTAGCACTTACCTGGGAGTAAATTTCACTGAACTGGATGGAACTGAGTAGACATGCTTAGGATTGTGATGCCTGCCTTGCTTTTCCCCCTTTGTTTTGTTGTTTCAAAATAGTAACATATCAATACTATGGAAAAGGGTCTCTTACGTTTCTGATTATGTTGATATATTTTTTTGAATGCCACAGGCTTTATTAATCTCTTGAACCTATTTTACATATTCAATCCCTTTCACTTTAAAACACATAAAGAAAAGTAATTTCCTCCTAAGTTTAAGTGTTGTGCTTTTGTTTAGGAAGCTTGCCTATAAGCCATGTGATCACAGCTTTTATTCTTTGTTTCCCTGATGTGGCAGCAGTGAACTCTTTAATCTGTTTAAGATGCCCTGTATCTCTGTGTTTTGACTGGGACTGTAGGTTGGACAAAACTTTTGTCTGCTTTCTTAAAAACAAAACTGCTGGTATGGATCCCTAAGTGCAGTTGTATTTGAAAGTAAGCTCCATTGAAATCAGTGGAAGCTACTTCTGGCTAACTGAGCCAGAAGTAGGAACCTACGCACTTAAGTGGGCCAGAATTACTTTAGTTTACAAAATGCTTTACAGTCTTTGCTGTTACTTCATATAGTGCCGGGGTCTCCAAGACGGTGCCCATGTGAAATGGATATTTTGAGCTGCCAGTGGAAGTTCCTTAAGCTTCCAAATATGTCTCCGGCCCCCAAAAGATTGAGGACTGGTATAGCACAACGGTAATTTAGGATTGAACAGAATTAATCAGTCATTATTATTTTCTAGGAAAAAATGGTGCTGGTACTTACCACAAAGTTGTTACAGCAAGTGCCATACTTTTAACATTTGAAGAAAAAAGTGCTGGTACTACTTAGCCCTGAGTACGCCCCCCACTCCCACCCAAAAGCACTGGAATTAGGGCACAGACCATATCAAAATAGAACAGGATAAAATACTGTACAACGTGATATCCGTCTGGAAGTGAAACATGTTTAAACAGTTAATCTACAGAAATTGCTGTTGCAAAATGTGACACTGGATCATACATAGCTTAAATGACTTTAAAAGGGAGTTGGGCAAATTCTCTCCATAGGCGGTCAGTGGCCGCAAGTCAGGATCAATATACATCCCACTTCCAGGTTCAGAGATTAGATTGAGTCTGAATACTAGTTGCTAGGGAGTGGGCAGTTGCCTTCATGACCTGCTTGTGGACTTAGAGAAGTCCATTGGTTGACTGCTGTGGAAGACATTCTCCTGGAGTAGATAGACTTCATATGAACTACCTTAGAGTAATCTCACATTCCACAGACGCTTCCACAAACAGAATTGGTGGATCCCTGTGCCCACTTCTTACAGCAGTTGCTCCCCCCCCCCCAAATAATCAGGGCCATCTTTAGCATATGCGCCACCGGAGGGCAAAGATCTGCCCAGTGCCCCCAAACATAGTTTTGCCACCCCAAAATTAACTTTTATTGAGTTTTTTGGGGGAAGGGGGGAAGCCAAAGTTGTTGACCTTTTTTTAGGGGGGGCCAACTCACAGTTGTTAAGCTTTTTGGCTGCAGTAATCCCTTGGAATTGTTGTTAAGCTCACCTGTAACAATGACGAATTGGAAAAAAACGCTTTTGTTTCCTGACTTGTCGGGAATATTTGACGCTACGGAGTAACAGAGCAACGGGGGGGGGGGAGGAGACTTTTGTTCCATTGTACCCCTGAGTAAAGATGGCCCTGTAAATTATGATGGTTACATTTGGGAAACAATATTAGTCCTGCAATGCAGTAACATCACTTTCTGAATTGCATCCTAAAAAAACAAGCTCAAGTATTGTTACCCTAGAGAATAATACTGCTTCAAGTCTTCCCATGTGTACACTTACCAGCATCAGTCATGGTCAAGAGAGAGGCACCCCTAGCTTTAAAAAGAAAAAAAGACAAACTTTAAAGGAAAAGAACTAAAAGGAAAATCCAAAAGGAACCAAACTAAAAAGGGAAAGCTGAAAGGAATCAGAAAAGTTAAGGCAGTGCATAATCCTGAGAGTCTGAGAGGAAGCATACTGACAACTGAGTTGGAGGGGGAATAGAATGAAGTGGCAGGAAAGAAAGGAGGCAAAAAAGATATGTAGAAAGAATATTTGCATAGGTCTTTCCTTGGTCCACACTGAAAAATGTCCTCAGGGACAGAACAGAGAGTTCTCCATAGACATTGACGGACATATCCAAGATTTTAATGTAACTGGTGGACTTTTTTTCCCTCAGGGTGGGGAGGAAGCCAAAATGGAAGACAGAGGAGACAGTCAACTAAAAATATGCCAGTGAGACTTTAGAGCAGTCTTTCTCAACATTGAGTCCCCAGATGTCCCCTAGCTAGCAAGACCCAATGGTCAGGGATGAGAAAGGTTGAGAAAGGCTGCCTTAAAGTGGTATGAGATGCTGACTGACTGACTGGAGGAGTAGAGGAAAGCCTGGGGTGGATACAATGGAGCAGGATCTCACCTGTGCTATTAGAAAAAGAAAAAGCTGACCATGCTGTGTCAGCCAGGGGTGTATCCCTTCCAAGGACGTTCTTCGTAAAATGTCAAAAGCCACACCGTACACTACATCCTGACACAAACATGTGAAAACATCACAGATACATGTACGGTATGTGATTTGGACACTGTGGGCAAGGATGTAACCATGGCAAAGGTGCATACCTTGCCCCGTAATGTGTGGAACATCTCCGGGTCTGGCCATTCGTCATCTGCTAGGCATTTAATTACGGGACGCGTAAGTTACACCTGTCAGCTCAGTTTGATTACCTGCCTTTATGTACTTGGAGCAGGGAACTGGAGTAGGCAGGGGAACAAGATCAAGGAGACTGGTAAACAAGGTGTTTGAATAATGCTGGACTCCGGAGAGCTATTTAGGGATTTCCAAGGGATTACTGCAGCCATTTGAAGTTAAAATTTGATACTGGTTAAAAATCCGGACGCTTGAGTAGTTTTTGAAATTAATTAACTAGAAGAATCGCGGCATTCTTTATAGCACTCAGGGTGGGCTGCAATAATGTAAATGATAATATCAGGTTGTGCTGGAGCAGCTCTGTTGGTTAGAGCGTGGTGCTGGTAACACCAAGGTTGCAGGTTCGATCCCCGTGTGGGATAGCTGCATATTCCTGCATTGCAGGGGGTTGGACTTGATGATCCTCAGGGTCCCTTCCAACTCTAGGATTCTATGTTGAAATGCTGGGAGAAAAATAAAACAACACTACAATTAAACAACGGAAGAGCAATAACGTTGTTATCTGCTGTACCTGTCTGCCTAGAAACAGGATGGGGTGGGTGGGTGGGTGGTATCCATCCCTTGAAAAGATCTTAACAGGGCATGTTAAATGTCTGCAGGAATACACTCCTGAGGGATTCCTGCTATCTTGGCAGGGGCACAGAGTAAGCCCTCTGCTGTGTCCAGTTGTGCAGGGGTGGGGAATCTTTGACCGAAGGACCCCTCCAGGACTTTGAAACTGGCCCTTGGGACTCTCTAAGCCTTGCCTCCTCCCAGACCACCCTCCTCATTCCTCATAAACCCTCAAGTGTTTTTGCCTGGCTGGAATGTGTCCTTGAACTGCGATGCGTATCTAGAAGCTCCTGACTTTTGCATGGGCGGAATGTAGCTTTCCGTCCAAGGGTGAGTCACATCCTTTGCTCTGCCCCTGTTTACTTTTCACCCAGCCTACTTTTGCTTCTGGCCCTGCCTGCCACACTGGCAGGTTCCCCACCTGCCACTCCAACTCCCCCAGAAGGTTTTCATGGGGGATTGTGGCCCTCTGACCTAAAAATGTCACTCCCCTCCCTGCAGTTGTGCTTCAAAAACAAAACAAAAACAAAAAAACTAGTCTGCTCAACAGCTCTTATGGAGTAAACAGGCTTGTATGGCAGAATAATCGTATATAAGTAGTGTTTTACCTTCACAGCACCAGGTTAGGCTCATATAGACAGACTGTATGTAAGGAGCCATCGTTCAATGGGTAGAGGACCATGCTTTGCGTGCTGAAAATGGCTGGAGTGGGATGGGGGAATCAGGTAATAAGTGATGGGAAGGAATCACTAGCACACGCATCCCCAAACTTGGCCTTCCAGATATTTTGGGACTACAGTTCCCATCATCCCTGACCACTGGTCCTGTTAGAAGAAGAGGAGGAGTTTGGATTTGATATCCTGCTTTATCACTACCTGAAGGAGCCTCAAAGTGGCTAACATTCTCCTTTCCCTTCCTCCCCCACAACAAACACTCTGTGAGGTGAGTGGGGCTGAGAGACTTCAGAGAAGTGTGACTAGCCCAAGGTCACCCAGCAGCTGCATGTGGAGGAGCGGAGACATGAACCCGGTTCCCCAGATTATTGAGACTTCTGCTCTTAACCACTACACCACACTGGCTAGGGATGATGGGAGTTGTAGTCCCAAAACATCTGGAGGACCGAGTTTGGGGGTGCCTGCACTAGCAGATGTTCTCCAGGGTCTCAGAGTCTGTAATGCAAGGCTACATGGATAAAGAGCCTGACCTGAAATAGGGACCTCTCTAATTTCTGTGGTAATCTTGTGAGCTTTGTATCTGAATTGGCTGAGTATGAGTTGTATCCTTTTCAAGGCACCCTAGAATGCACCTCATGGAGAACTCCCTGCTTCATTGGTGCCCTTTGCAACATGGATGCTCTGGACAGCTGCTTTGGGTGCTTGTACCTAATTTCTAGTTCTGGTTACTTAACACCCGACTTGGGTTGGCTTTACTGCTGGGAGTCAAGCCCTTTAAAAAAGAAAGAACCGTTTATTATGACTTTACATATCAAAGAAAAACAAACAAAGAAACAAAACTCAGAGCTTATATACACCTACTTGGTTACAGCAAATGTAAGAGAAAAACATGTAGCTGACAGAAAATGTTTCACAAATGTACAGGCCACAACACATACAAAAATAGACACTAACTGAAACAATTGGGGAACCCTCATAGAAGTACTCAACCAGCCAAACGTAAAAAGAAGAAAATTAACTCAGTCCTCCTATAATATCTGCGTAAAGCCCCACATGAGTTGATGAAGGAAGTCCTAATCATGCCCTTTCCCCAAAACATAATAAATTAAACTAACCATTGTACACGAACACACACAAACATTTTCCCCTCTCCTTGGATTTTCCCCCTCAGCTGGCAAGTAAGTTTTTCCGTAAGGGATTCCCATGTGGGGGATTCCCTGGTCTTGAATGGGGTAACTGTGCCCCTGAAGGACCAGGTGTGCAGCCTGGGAGTCATTTTGGACTCACAGCTGTCCATGGAGGCGCAGGTTAACTCTTTGTCCAGGGCAGCTGTATACCAGCTCCACCTGGTACGCAGGCTAAGACCTTACCTGCCCGCGAACTGTCTCGCCAGAGCGGTGCATGCTCTAGTTATCTCACGCTTGGACTACTGCAACGCGCTCTGCGTGGGGCAACCTTTGAAGGTGACCCGGAAACTGCAATTAATCCAGAATGCGGCAGCTAGACTGGTGACTGGCAGTGGCCGCCGGGACCACATAACACCGGTTCTGAGAGATCTGCATTGGCTCCCAGTACATTTCCGAGCATGATTCAAAGTGTTGGTGCTGATCTTTAAAGCCCTAAATGTCCTCGGTCCTGAATACCTGAAGGAGCGTCTCCACCCCCATTGTTCAGCCCGGACACTGAGATCCAGCGCTGAGGGCCTTCTGGCGGTTCCCTCATTGCGAGAAGTGAGGCTGCAGGGAACCAGACAGAGGGCCTTCTCGGTAGTGGCACCCACCCTGTGGAACGCCCTCCCATCAGATGTCAAAGAGATAAACAACTACCTGACATTCAGAAGACATCCTAAGGCAGGAAAGTTTTTAATATGTAACGCTGTACTGTTTTTAACACTTGATTGGGAGCCGCCCAGAGTGGCTGGGGAAACTCAGCCAGATGGGCGGGGTATAAATAATAAATTATATAAGGGTCAGGGCCAAGCCTTTCTGATGTAGTTGCTGCACCCGCAGCCTGAGTTTGATTGGAACATGGCATAGACCTGCTAGTTTCCTTGAGGAAGCTTCTGTTGTGCTGTAACATAATAGCCGTTCATGCACACGGACAGGTGGAACATTTGGCATCAATAATGGATTGAGCTAAACCAGGCATGTCCAAAGTTTGTTTCGTGGCCCTAATCCTGCCCCCACGGCCCTTCACTTCATCAAATCTGGCCCTCTTTGAAAAAGTTTGGACACCACTGAGCTAAACCATTCCTTCCTTTAGGCAAAGTGGGTAGGGGCACATTCGTGACTGGCTTGCACAACTGGATAAGTGGTTTAGGCAATTTTTTAGAGCGGGGACGGAGAATGGTTTTCAGCCAGAAGGCCACATTTCCTTCTTGGCAACCTTTCAAGGACCACATGTCAGTGAATGCCAGAGGCAAAAATGTGCCGAGAAACCAATGTAAATGTTACCTTTATACGGTAGACTAGTTTCTACGCACATTCTCACATCCCTCTGTGTCCAGGAAAGCAAGAAATCATTAGTGTTTTGCTACACATTTCAGTCAGAGGGGAAAACACAGGGTGTGAAGCAGAGCAGGGGGGATTTGTGGCCTGAGGAGACTTCTGAGGGTCCCATTCAGCCTCCAGCTCTGCAGTTCCCTGCCACTGCTTCAGATGGTTGCAGATTTCAGATTTTTCTAGCTTATGTTGCAAGAAAAATGTTTCTAATAAGTGTTTGTTGCTTATTTAGGCTGTGGTCCTATGCTTGGGAGTGTGTTGTTGAACACAGTACCCATTTACTTGAGAGTAAGCCACCACTGAATTCAGTGGAGTTTTCTACAGCATTAGTATGGATTGACCTATAAGAATCACCAAATCTCCAATTTTGTTATCAAGCGGTGAGCATGTTACTCAAGAGACTGTATGGTGGTTCTTGGCTTTTATTTTGGAAACTTGGGGACCTTTTTACCAATTTTGCTTTAAAAGAAGTAATTCTTGCGCAGAAATCACTGGGAGCTTTCAAAGGCGATGTGACAGGCGAATGTAAAAAATGTGACTGCTGTTCACGTGTGTATATTTAGGCTCCTAATGGAGTACCGTATTTTTCGCTCTAAAGGATGCACTTTTTCCCCTCCAAAAATGAAGGGGAAATGTGTGTGCGTCCTATGGGGCGAATGCAGGCTTTCGCTGAAGCCTGGAGAGTGAGAGGGGTCGGTGCGCACCGACCCCTCTCGCTCTCCAGGCTTCAGGAAGCTATCCGCAAGTCTTGCAAGCCCGGCGGGAGGTCCCGCGGGCTCGCAAGGCTTGCGGGCAGCAGCCTGCAGCCCAAAAGCTCGGGGGACAGCGGGGAGGCGCAGCGCCGCCACCCCGCTATTCCCCGACCTGATCTGGAGGCTGGCGGGAGCTTGCTTCTCCCCCCTGCCAACCCCACAAGCTCGGGGGATAGCGGGGAGGCGGAGCGCCGCCACCCCGCTATTCCCGGACCTGGTCTAGCCCCACAAGCTTGGGGGATAGCAGGGAGGCGGAGCGCCGCCACCCCGCTATTCCCCGACCTGATCTGGAGGCTGCGGGGGGAGAAGCAAGCTTGCTTCTCCCCCCGCCAGCCCCACAAACTCGGGGGACAGCGGGGCAAGCCGCTGCCCCACGGAGGCTAGAGAGGCTGTCCCTGAAGGCAGAAGAGGGAGACGGAGCGCTCCGTCTCCCTCTTCTAGCTTTGGGATGGCTGCGCAAACCTGGGGGGGAAATAAATTTTTTTCCCTTGATTTCCCCCCAAAAAAACTTGGTGCGTCCTATGGGCTGGTGCGTCCTATAGGGCGAAAAATACGGTATACAGCAAGAAGCCCTCATTCCTTTCTTTGGTAACACCGTGATAAATGTAGGCCCCTCCCTTCATAAAAATTTTTGACTTCATGGGATGTTTTGATATGCCAGACAATAAGTAGTTAGCAATACTTGTGCAGTCAACCAACATCTCAACCTGCTTGGCATATCTTGTAGAAGATGTGTGAGCTACACCAAAGGCCCTTGTAATAACTCCTATAACTTAGAAGGTGCGTGGATGACTCAAGCCTGCTTCACAAGATGGCCCTGATGACCAATGGAAAAATACAATGGGAACTATTGAATTCTGGCTTCTTTCGAAAGTTGGTGGTTCTTGTTTTTGTGAATTGTATTAGCAGACTTCCTTGTTTAGAGTACTGGAGGAAATCATTACTGGTTTGGGAAGAACCTTCTTTGAAAATCGAAACCATCAACTTATGTTGCAGTTCAGTCTGTTCATTTCCTAGGTGAACCTTCAAACTTCAGACACTTCTGCAAGATAAATTCTTGGCCTTCTCAGTTCACTGCTATCTAACGTTGCCTTCACTTCTCCAACATTATAGCAGAGACTTAGGTGGCTCAAACTTACTGTGGTTTACGGAAACACAGGAAAGGCAGGAGCTTCCTGCATATAAAACATGACCTTGCAAGCTGACCTAGCTGAACCTAATCTTCCACTTCAAAATGTCATCCAGAACAGGAAAAACAGCTGTATCTCCAAGGTTTTCAAACTGGCTTTGATCAAATTCAGACAAGAAGGGCTTGGTGAGAGTAAAAAGCTGTCTTCCTATTAACAATATTGGATGCACTCTTCCCAGCAAATGACGTCTCTTAGGTCAAGTCTTCATCTCTCTGCCTCCTGTGTCAGCAATATAGAGAATGCTGAAGATAACAAGTTGGCAGCTCAGTCTGCAGTTACGCTTCTGTGGTGTGAGATTTCTCAAGCTGTTTGAACAGCCGAGGATCACAATTAATTTCCTGTGCGACTTAATTGTTGTGAATTTAAAGCATTTCTCTTCACTTGCTCATGGGTGTCGAAACAATGCACCTAACAAATCAACAACATATTATTCATCCTTCTGGGTCATTGCACAACGGCCTGGTCTGACCTCCTAGTAGAATATTTCCAAGAATGTTATAGGATTGATACCTGCCCATGAGAAAAAATTCCCTACCCCTCTCCCTCGGCTGTTTGTAGGCACTGGTGACTTGAAAGAACTCATCCCAGTTGGCAGAAAGTCTGTTTTGCTTGGAGTAACAATCTTTTCCTGGTTGTTTGGGACAAATAGATGGCAGTTCATAATGGAAGCTCCATGGAAGCAAAACTTGTATAAAAGGAAAATGGACATGAAGGCTATTTTCCTTCCATCCACTGCTCATCCATGTGCCCCCCCCCATTCTTCCTCTCTTTTTAAAAACACACACACCAAAACTTTCACTTAAAGTTTTCAACATGAGCTGTGCAACCCAATCCTTAGCTTGATAATTCTATTCTATTTATTTATGTATTTCATAAAATTTATATACCAATTGATTGTTTAAAAAAACAAAAAACCTCAGAGCAGGACAAAACAATGACATTATCAGTAAAAAAACACAAAACACCAGTTAAAAACAGCTATTTTAAACACTTTAAAAACAAGCAAACTCCACATTAAGCTAAAATCCAGATTAAAGTACCTGTTATCATTCTACATATCTGGATAGGCTTGCAAAAAAAACCAAAAACCTTTTTGCAGGCACTACGAAGAAGTGCTGTGAAGGCGCCTGCCTGTTGTCAATTGGCAGGGAGTTCCAGAGGTCAATTTTGTACAGATGCGGAGTGAGTATTACATGCCACTGTTCTGCAGTGTGGAGCAGTCGAGTGGGTATGTATGGGGTAATGTGCTCTTGCAGGGAAACTGTTCCCAAAATATTAAGGTCCCAAATTATACTAAAGGTAAGACCTTGAACTTAGCAGTAAGCTTCACCGAGCTCTGTGGGACTAATTGCAATGTGCATGGATTTCATCTTTATATCTTTCTCTCTTTTTTGCTTTTTAGGAAATCCCAGTAATCCCTTTTCTTCTCTCGCTTTCCTTCCAGTTGGTGAGCCTGCTGCTGATTGGAATCGCAGCGTGGGGCATTGGTTTTGGCCTCATCTCCAGCTTTCGGGTGGTCGGAGTTGTCATTGCTGTGGGGATATTTCTCTTCCTGATTGCTCTGGTGGGGTTGATCGGCGCCATCAAACACCACCAGGTGTTGCTCTTCTTCGTATCCTTTGACCTGGGCAGTTTGTCTAACACACGACCCATTTTCCACGGAGCTATTTGTAACCCTATTTTCCCCCTTCATCTGCCTCGACGACTCCTTGCATTGCACCTCAGTCTAAATGTGCAGAGTCACCTAAAGCACAAGGAACATTGATCACATGGTTGGCCCTTGACCCAGTTATGACATTTTTATTTTTTTCCCAAAAAAAGCTGTTTCGTAAAGCAAACAGTTCTCCACCTATAAATGGATCACAAGACGGTGGTGGTACAACTGGTTTCCTTGAAATAGTTACAGATCACCGATAAGGAATGCCAGCTTGTTTTCTGGGCTTTCTGAAGCAATTATATATCTTACGCTTCCTGCAGCAATCCTGTTTTCTTCTAGAAGGCAGCACTGCTTATGTCACAGACAAGATTGTAGGGTGCATACTTAGAAGCCCAGTGAGAGAAGAATTCTTGTACATGGGAGACCTGCTTGCCCTTTCCCAGCTGCCTAAAAGCCCTGCTTGAATTACTTATCTAGCTGCTTCCCAGCTGGAGTAGATTTATCATGTACATATACTGGCTATGGCATGATCTGTCCACTGCTAGACTTTTCATCCATGCATTTCCTCCCTACAGAAAGTGCATTTAGACTTGCAAGTGTCCAGTGTATGCCTAAAATTAACATTTAAAGCCGCCTCTGGGATAGTTTCGGAGTTAGTGACAAGGGACAGGGACTTTTTGGTTGTGACCTTCCACTTAGGGAATAATTTTCCCAGTGAGGCCCACCTGGTGCCAACATTCCTGTCTTTTCAGCACCAGATTAAGACACTCCTCTGCTTAGATTTGCTGGTCTGTGGTGGACTGTTCATTATTAACTACCAGCTTCTAATGGTCTTTGGTTATTGATTATGTATTGTGCTGATATTGATTGTGCCAACCTTTATGGGGCAAGGTGTGTTTGTAGTTTGTGTGTGCATAATATGAATTATTTGTTTTTATTGCCTCGTTCTAAATTTTGGATGTTTTATACTTTTGTAAGTTGCGATGTCTGGGGTTTTTTTTAAATCGCATGAGAAATATGATGATAAATGTTAATATTAATTATATATTTTTTTATTAATAACTCGCATCAGCCCCAGCCAGTATGAGCAATGGTCAGGGATGATGAGCATTGCTATCCAGCGAGCTATAGATTCTCCACCCCAATGTAGGAAAAATGATTTTTATTTATTTTTTAATTGTAAAAATATTTATATTCCACTATTGCATTAAAAAAAAGCAAAGTGGTTTACAACAATAATACATAAAATCGTGCAAATAAAATAAAAAATAAAAAAAATCAGCTCACTGTTATGGAAAGATGTGTTCTTAATTGCCTGCGTAGGCCTGGTGGAATAGAAGAGTTTTCAGCAAAGGTTTAAAAGTTGAAACAGAAGGCACCTGATGAATGTCTGTTAGCACAGTATTCCCCAATATCAGGTCCAAGACATGAAGGACTCTATTTCTTTGTCATCATGAAATGGGCTTCCACCAATTTGGGTAACAGCCAGTGATCCTCCCTGTAGATGATTCTATAGCTGGGAAGAAAAGTGGTTACTCACTAAAATACTTCAGGTTACAATCCCAGATTCACTTACTTGGGGTAAGTCCCATTGAACTTGCACTCAGTGGGGCTTACTTCTGAGTAGACATGCATAGAATGGCTCATCTGACTGCTGCCAGCATTTTGGACAGAATGGTGTCAGTAGAGAGTTTGCCCCCTACACCATCCCACCCTTTCTTTGATAAGAAACAAAATACCTTCTTTCTGCTTAAAAATGATTGATGGGTAATAAATCCCGCCCTCCATTGCATTTGTGTCATGTGGGGGCTTAGCAAAGGCACTTCCAGTAATGAGGCTTAGGAATGCCACTTGTCAGTAGAGGTAATATGAAGAAATGATTGAACCAAGATTGATTAAAGAGCAACTTGATCCAAGGCAGGCAGACTGGCAGGCTAGTCAATCAACCAAAACAGAGAATAGTCTAGAGTAGATTGTTTCTGATTCTCCCCTTTAATGGCACCAGAAAAAAATCCTCTTGTCTTTGATGATTACCTTACTTTGCCTCTTGATTGGACTCCATCTCTTCCAAGCCAAGAGAGCCAAGTTTCTTGGCTAAAGAACCCCATTTCGTGCATACAGTTAACTTTGCGTTTTCATTAATGATACACATGATCTTGTTGACCTTAACTACGTAACTTCAGTATATGATTATTCTCTTGCTAGTGTTTATTATACAGTTTTCGGTCTCCTGTGCTTGTTTGACATTGAACAAGGAACAGCAGGTAAGCGATGGCTTGTGACTTCTTTGCCTAAAACCGCTCATAGCCGTGGCTAAATCTGTGTGCTGCTTTTCCATATAGAAGCGCCTAGAGTGTCTTGCAACAGGGCAAGAGCAGGAATATGTGTTATTGCTAGAAATAATCTTGTAACTATTCAATTCAAAACATACAAAGCAATCAAAATAGTTTTTCTCTAGTAGCATTTAAAATTGGTTAAAGAGTAGGCAAGTGCAATCATTAAAACTCATTGTCCACTGATAAGATCAAGTTTCAATTATACAAGCCCAAGATACTGGGCAGTGGGTGGTGCTGTGGTCTAAACCACTGAGCCTCTTGGGCTTGCCGATTAGAAGGTTGGCGGTTTGAATCCCTGCGACAGGTTGAGCTCCCGTTGCTCTGTCCCAGCTCCTGCCAACCTAGCAGTTTGAAAGCACGTCAGTGCAAGTAGATAAATAGGTACCACTGTGATGGGAAGGTAAATGGTGTTTCCATGTGCTCTGGCTTCCGTCACGGTGTTCCATTGCGCCAGAAGTGGTTTAGTCATGCTGGCCACGTGACCCGGAAAGCTGTCTGTGGACAAAAGCCGAGTTCCTCGACCTGAAAGTGAGATGAGTGCCGCAACCCTATAGTCACCTTTGACTGAACTTAACCATCCAGGGGTCCTTTACCAATGCCCTTTATACTATACTATAGTTTAGTATAGCAGAAAAAGCTAAAGGACCCATGACAGTTAAGTCCAGTCGTGAACGACTCTGGGGTTGTGGCGCTCATCTCATTTTACTGGCCGAGGGAGCTGGCGTTTGTCCGCAGACAGTTTTTCTGGGTCATGTGGCCAGCACGACTAAACTGCTTCTAGCAAAACCAGAGTGCCACACAGACATGCCATTTACCTTCCTGCCACAGTGGTACCTATTTATCTGCTTGCACTTTGGTGTGCTTTTAAACTGTGAGGTTGGCAGGAGCTGGGACTGAGCAACGGGAGCTCATCCCGTTGCGGGGATTCGAACCGCCGACCTACTGATCAGCAAGCCCAAGGCTCAGTGGTTTAGACCACAGCGCCACCCGTGCCCCTCTAGTATAGTATAGTACAGATTAACCAACAGTATAACCAGTTACCAGCCCCATGCAAGGGCCAAGACAGGAGCTAGTAGTTGGGTTTCTTACAGCTGTTATGGGATGATGGTTGGTCAGCTAACTACTTTGCTCTCTTGCTCTGTATGTCTTTCCTTCCTCCTGTGCTTGTGTTGTGGACATCAAGAGGCCAGCCTTAAAGCTTGCCCATTAACCCTCCTCCATCTTCCCGAGACGGGCCATCTGCATCTGTCACTGAAGAAAAGAATGGTCCCCTTTCCCAGCAGGCAGATACATGGCGTTATAGAGCTACACAGCCACTGTCATATATCACCCTCTCTCACACACATATGAACTGTCACAGCTGACACTTATTCCTCCACCCATTACCACTGATGGCTGAATGCTCTGCGTGCCACTTGGAAGCTACAGAGGGTCCAGGAATTTTCAAAAGCTGCCACACACTTAGGTATGGCCCAAGCCTCACACCCATCATAGCAGCCATCAAGTTAACCAATCTGACTCTTCCGTGTCAATCTGACCCTCCTTCAAGAAGAAGGATCTGATTTTTGTCTTCCTTCACATCTAAATTTTGGGTTCCTCTACTTGCAGATTAACTGACCCAAACAGAAATTGGGATGTGTACAACTTGAGAGATCTAAATATCTGCTCTGTTAACCTAATATCTTTAAGGATTTTCGCATAGAGAGTTGGAAGTGGCTTCTGCACGTAGCGCTGTTTATTCTGCTGGTTTTTGCCACAACGACTCAGGAAAGTGATTTTGCAATTGTCATAGAAAGCTCATTGAAAAGACCAACATGAGTGTGCTGTAGCCAGGAAAGTAGTAATGCAAAGAATTGCCAGATAATCGAAAACAGCCCATTTACTAGCACATGGCAGAAGTTTAAAGGTTGTGTAACAGAGGAATCCCAGTGCAACAGTTGCACTAGTGGAAGCTTGTTGCACAACAGCTCTTTTGTGCAATCTGTTGTGTGACAACCTTTGGTAGTGTGCTTGCAATTTGCTTTGCACAACAGTGTTCCACCAGTGCAACGTGTATACCACAAAGGGACTTTAACTTATCACTACGGTGGATACAACCCTAAGTCCCAGGTGGTCAAAGGCATATAAAGATAGGAGTGAAGATAGGAGTGAATGGCTGTGCCCTTCATAAAGCTACAGGGAAACATGAATTTCTTCTGTGTGGTTAGTTCAGATAAAATGTCCAATCTGGAACAATGGTGATAGTGCCGACACATCTTACTATATAATCATGCTGGGGAATAAGAACTGTCATATCAAATGGTTGACAAAGAAAGGGTACCCCCCTTCTAAATAACTTCTTTATGTATTCTAGAGCAAACTTCTAGAAGTTGGGTGGAACAACACAAACAATGCCAAGCAGGATATCGAGAGGAATCTAAACTGTTGTGGATTCAATAATGTCAGTGAAGCGGACACATGCTTGGCCGTGAGTAAACAACTCGGTTCCATTTTCCCCTCCAAAGCCTGTTTTTAGAAGTACTGGGCAGCTAACTCTTATCAAGTATCCACAGTTGCCTGTCTTTGAAAGAAATAATTTGTTTAACTTGCATGTGAGGTACCTGCATTTTATTGGAGTTTAATCACACCTAGAGGGTTTTTATAACTTTCATAACCTTGGGACACTAGTTGCGAATTTTGGCCATTAAATTAGCAGCACCACGAGGGTTTTGTTTTTTTGTTTTTTTTTTTGAGGGGAAGGACATAAATTAGAAGTATCCCTTGTATAAGGAAAATGATCTTGATGCGTAGGGATATATGACATCTTAAGTGTATTTAATCTTTGCTTCGTTACAGAGCTGTGTTAAGCTACAGTCATGTCGCCCATGTGCACCAATAATCAAAGAATACTCTGGGATGGTGCTGAGATTTGTAGGAGGCATTGGACTCTTCTTTAGTTTCACGGAGGTAAGAAAAACACGGCTTTTGCTTTGTAAAAAGCAACAAGGTTTTTGGGGAGAAGCCTTCAGTGCTAAATGTCTGACGTAAAATAATTGCAAGCTCTCCTCTTGAATCATTGCTACGGGTTTCTGTGGTGGCAAAATTGTCATTTAGTTGATCATTCAACTGATTATTAGTTTGTCAAGTAAGTTTGTCAAGTAAGTTACCACTTGGGAAATAATAAGGGTATGTATTTTTTTTTTTAAAAAAAATCTGAACTGTTTCTGAAGCATTGTTCATTCGCTGCTTCCATCTGCAATTTGACTCCCGAATTTGACGCCTGTGGAAACAAAATACAAACCACCACAACCAAACAAAGTAGGTCCATCAAGCTTGACATCTACCATTATCTGCTCTATGTAAATACTTATACTGTAGATGTACACAGAGCTCTTTCATGCAAGAGGAGTGTGGCCCAGTTAGATGGAGCTCCCTTCACACACCAGCCAAGTATGCAGACAGGGATTTGCCTCCCTTGCTCACTGTTTCAGTACAACCAGATGGTGGTCTGGCCCCCACTTGGTCTCCCGGGACAGCTATGTTTACTATGTTTTGGCTACTTAGGTAAAATGTGGTGGTGGTAGGATATGGAACTTGAGAACTTTATGATCCCCAACAAATGTTTTATTTCCTCTCTTCTCTTCTTTTCTCTCCCTCCCCTCCCTTTCTTCAGATCTTGGGTGTGTGGCTCACCTACAGATACAGGAACCAGAAGGATCCTCGGGCAAACCCTAGTGCATTTCTTTGACCTGGAAACTTTCTCGGGGAACTGAATATTTCTTTTCCTGTGTTTTTAACCATGAATTCTCTACCAATTGGCTGCTTTCCGCATCAGCCTCGGCCTTGTGCACTTGAGATAAGATGGCCTGCCTACAGCTGCTTCTCATCTTGGTTTTTCTTGTCTTGCCCTTGGATTAGCTGGCTTGGAATGTCACCTGTGCCCCTAATCAGAATCTGGATACTTTAGGAATGTGGGGGGAGTTTTGTAGGAGCTCTTCTCATGTTACACTGTCCAACCCTGCATTCTGGTCCTTGACAATTGCTTGCTATTGCCTTCGGTGGGCAAAGAGGAGAAAAGAGATTTCTGATCTGTTTCGTCTGCCAGAAATTCTATCTGAAAGATCAGTTTTGAATGCCCAAAGCTGCGTTATGAAACCTGATGTAAATTATGATGCTGTTGTTTCCAACTTTGGTATTATGGGGTGTTAAAAAACCCCCACAACCACCACCCGATAATGTAGACGTCACGGGATGTAGAAAATCATTTCCCACCCTGTGTTCTGCTTCTCCCCTTGTTTCCATAGGCAATGTGAAAACCTGTGTACATTAGTTAGTGTTGTTCGTCTATTTCAGAATTGCCATGGAAACGTAGTGATTCCATTCCAGAGCCCTGTTTTGTCATTTCACCGCATTAATGGATTGTATGTGAGCTTCTTAATTCACTGCAACTCTGTATACACACACATGAACACGTTGGACTGCAATGGCTCCTTGCCATTCAGAATGGTTAAAATTCATAATAGATTCTGCATTGACTTTAGAGTGTGGCACAAGGGTAGCCAATGTAGTGCCCTTCAGGTGTACTGAATTACATCTCTCACCCCTGACCATTGGGCCCTGCCAGCTGGGCTGGTAGAAGGTGGAATCTGACAACATCAGGAGGGCACCAGCTTGTTTACCCTTGATACAGAGTTTATCTTCAACACGCAACAAGTGATGATGAACAGGGATATGAAACTTCATTGTATTACCCAATAACTTGCATTTGAATGACCTGTGTGTAGTTTAAAGTGGCTAAAAGAGAGAATAATGTTTAGTTAGCTTGTCACACTAAGAAAAACTAGTCTTGATGCCTAGAGTTCTCATATAAATTTAATCGGTGTAGTAAGTTGTGATACTGCTGTTGGTCTTTAACTAATTATGCTCAGTCATTGCTATTTAAAATACTTTTACCGCACTCGGTATTTGAAATATTTGATCGTAAATGTGAACTAGAACATTACAGTTATGTATCTTTGTAGCACATGGATAAAAAAATAAAACTTTTTTTGGAAGTACGTTAAAAAAAATCTGGTAGAGTCAAATGTCATGTACTGAAGTTGAGAGCTCACAGTGAAGGGCTGGACTGGAAAGCACTGTGCTTCCTAGTCAAAGCTGTCATTCTAAAATGGCGTGCGTGGATCGCTTAAAAAACACACACACAAAAAAACAGCTTGAAGTTAGGCATTGTGCTTTTTTTTAATAGTAAAAGATCTGGGTGAATTATTTCAGGAGTAGGGAGTCTTACAAAATCCCAGAACAAAAACGAGATGCAAGGAAATAACAAATTGCAAAGCAAGACCAGCTGGGTAAACTTATTGCAAGGAACAGACTGTGGAAAGCCTTAATGGAAGCATGTGCTTAAAACTCTGGCACAAGCTAGCACAAGATGCCGTGATGGCCGCCAACGTGAACAGCTTTAAAAGGAACTTAGACAAATCCTCTGAAGGAGTGGACATGCAGCCTGGGGGCTACTTCTGGACCCATTGCCCATTAGTTTCCAGCCCCAATTCAAAGTGCTGGTTTAGACCTTTAAAGCCTTACATGGCCTCAGGACTGCAATGCCTCAAGGACCGGCTCTCACAATATGAACTGACCTGGACCCATCACCATCTGACACCCTTTTTCCTGTCCTCCCTACACAAGGAGGGTGGCAACATGTAAGCAAGAGACTCTTTCCAGTGGTTCATAATTTAACGGAACCACCTGCGCCATCAGAGCCTGACAAGGCCCCCAAGATCTCCTGCAATGATTTTGCAAAGTCGCTCAGATTCGGAAAGAGGTGGACTCCACCGTGGGAGCAGGGCTGGGGCGGGAGAGTGCTAAAGTCCTGTCTAGTCAAGTTGCATGGGATCAATTCCAATCGGTTACCTCCGAAGATGTGGACAGGCTGCTTGGACAAGTGAAACCAACCACCTGTCTCCTTAATCCTTGCTCATCCTGGCTGATAAAAGCGAGCCGGGAAGGGCTGGGTGATGGGCTCTGCAGGGTGGTGAATGCTTCACTCTGTGAGGGAGTCTTCCCAGCCCCGCTGAAAGAGGCGGTCATTAAACTGCTTCTTAAAAAAACATCTTTGGACCCAGCCTCGGCCCAGTATACCTGAAGGAGTGTCTCCACCTCCATCGTTCAGCAGCCAAGGGCCTTCTGGTGGTTCCCTCACTGCGAGAAATGAGGTTACAGGGAACCAGGCAGAGGGCCTTCTTGGTAGTGGTGCCCACCCTGTGGAAGGCCCTCCCATCAGATGTCAGGGAAATAAACAACTATCTGACTTTTAGAAGACATCTGAAAACAGCCCTGTTTAGGGAAGTTTTTAATGTTCGAAGTTTTATTCTGTTTTTAATGTTCTGTTGAAAGCTGCCCAGAGTGGCTGGGGAAACCCAGCCAGATGGGTGGGGTAGAAATAACAAATTATTATTATTAATACATTTTCTGCAGTGGCTCCCATTTGTGGAATGCTCTCCCCAGGGAGGCTCGCCTGGCACCTTTGTTACATATTTGTAGTCACCAGGCAAAGTCATTCATCTTTGCCCAGGCCTTTGGTTAATTAAACAACTTTGTGTGTGAGGGGAGAGGTGTATATTTTGTTTTTTCTATGTTATGTATTTGTGTGCTTTTATGCTGTAAACTGCCCAGTGCTCCTCAGGTGAAGGGTGGTATAAACATTTTAATAATGATGATGTGTTCTTTTTCCAGAAAAATAGGTGCCAGAACTCACCTTGAACACCCCCCTCATTCTCTTAGAATGACAGTGGTGCCCACCTGAGAGGTGCCGGAATTCAGTTCCGGCAAGTTCCAGCTGAAAGGAAGTGCTGATGATAATGCTAGCCTGTTAGACTGAGGTACAGTGAAGGATGCTGTCCCTTTGCTGGTGTGTTGAAGTAAGATTCAGGCATTTGTGTGTGTTTTGGAATGGGCAGGAGCAAGCAGAGTATGAAGATTCAGCTGTGGAATGGATGGTGATGTTTGGTTGCCCTGTCTGCCTTTTGTGATCCTGGTCAGGCAATGTACAGCATGAATATTTAAATGCTGGTATTTATTAGGTGACCAGACTTTGGTTACAAGTTATTTATTTACACGCTCCGATGTAGAATGTGTGACATAACGAGCCAGCTAATCAAACATTAACTATTCAGCACTTTTATGTAAATTAAGACTGCCTGTGAGGTAATGGAGACTTTTCTGGCACACTGACTTGTGGGAAGCCCTCTTTCAACTCACTTAGTTATTTGACTGGTTTCCCTCCATTCAGCAGGAGTAGTTCATATGTTCCTGATGGAATGGGAACATATTTGGCAGGAATGGTTTGAGCCAGAATGAAACCATTCATTCTGGTTTGAGCCAGAATGGGCTCAGTCTGAGGACTCTTGGTCTTTATTGGTCCAATAGACAACCACAGTTGCCTTCAGTTGATAGGCCTCTGCTATTCAAGGACCCATATTTACTTTAGTGCAGGGATGGGGAAATTGTGATCCTCCAAATGCAGTTGGACACTAGTTCCCATCAGCCCCAGCCGGCATGGCCAATAGTCAGGAGTGATGGGAGTAGTAGTCCAACAACATGCAGAGGACTGTAGGCTCCCTGGTCCTGCTTTAACGTGCCAGAAGGAATCACTGAAGAATGGAGCGTGGCTGTTTTTGTGTCTCATCTGAGCCCTTGACTCATTGCAAAAACCCTTTAGCAAATCATCAGCGTTTTGGGAAAAGGGAATCTTCGTTTTCAATATTTGCATCTTGAGGCCGGCATTTTTATGTGGTGGGCAAGGGTCTTGTTGATTCTATTTTAAAATAAATAAATAAACCCAAATATTGGCTTGGTAAAGCATTAGAAAAAGAAAACACACAGGGAGAGAAATTTCACAAATGACAGAAAATAGTGAGACACCACCGAAAGTTTCTCCATCAGGTTTCCTTAAATATAATTCATTTCTCAGGTATTGCAAAAGCTGTATAATTTTCCACTGAATTAATGCTAGGAAAGATTTTACACATTTACTCATTTCCAAACGGAATCGATTAACAGTTTCTCCATATCTTTAACCCTTGCTGAGGAGGAGATATAAGTTTGGCACACTGCAAATCCAACATTTAGCTTCCCTTTGCATGTTTCAACAATAATTTTCTCAGGTAGGGCCAGAAAAGACCCCTGTCTTAAACCTTGGTATAGATGATAGTTGAACAAGGCGAACCAGTGAGCTGACTTAGTAAAAGGCAACTACCTGTGTTCCTGTGTTCCACCTGGCAAGAGAGGTGTGGGCCTAGAAAACACAGCTGGGGATCCACTCTCCATTGGAGTTGAGGGATGCTAACTGTGATCTCCAGAGCCTGGTATTGCTTCAAAACTGAGCCAAACCTTTGTGCATTTTTTTTTTTTTGCACCCACTATGCTGGGACTTATAAGGATGTAACTGACACACCCAGCTAGGATCCTCACTAACACACCAAATCAAATAGTGACCTTCAAAGTTTTCTGCTGTTTGCTTCACAAACCCCATGATTTCTCTTTCTCCACCAGCAGCATAGAGAGGAACAGCAATGGTGGCAGCACCCTCACCTGTCCACCAGAGGGCACCACCACCACTGACTAGTATTAAGAGACAGAAACCCACATGAATTCATGATCACCAGCTGAGGCGTATGGCAGACAAAGCTCGGTTTATTATGTGTGTCCCCCTCTCCCTGCATTAAAGCCTGGAAGAGCTGCTCTTCACTCATGGCTTTTGGATGGTGATGGTAATAGAGAAGGTCCAGGTTCATACCTGTAAGCTATGGCTAACATTAACTGAAGTTCATAAACAAATAAGGCATCCCCACGTAGGTAGGGATGTCAGAGAATTCTGACCAAAAATGAAAATAAGCAGACCAGGCAGTTTGCTTGTTCTTCTGCAGTCAGGAATGGACACCATTCACACAAATACAACTGGCAATCATTCACATTGCTGTTGGGCAGTTTGAAGTCTGCTGTCCATTTGCTGACATTGGAAGCTACCTTGCATTGAATCAAAACATTGGTGCATCTATCTCAGTGGCCCATGATATGTCGCTGGACTCCAGTAGCCCCAGCAAGTGTGGCCAATGCTCAGGGATGATGGGTGTTGGAATGAAACAACATCTGGGGTGTGTGTGTGCAGAGTTTCCTCAGCCCTGGTCTGCACTGACTGACAGCAACTTCCCAGGAATGGAGAGGAGACTTTTCTAGCCCTGTCTGCAGATATCGGGGACTGATGGAATTAGGTTCTTGAAAATTTGTTTGCTGTGTTATTTGTGTCATTGAAGAAGAAGAAGAGTTTGGATTTGATATCCCGCTTTATCACTACCCGCTTTATCACTATCCTTTCCCTTCCTCCCCCACAACAAACACTCTGTGAGGTGAGTGGGGCTGAGAGACTTCAGAGAAGTGTGACTGGCCCAAGGTCACCCAGCAGCTGCATGTGGAGGAGCAGGGAAGCGAACCCGGTTCACCAGATTACGAGTCTACCGCTCTTAACCACTACACCACACTGTCTCTCTCATTGGAAATATTATAGATACTTCTGTACAAGATTGCAAAATAAGACAGATTACAAAAGTGCAAACTCCATAAAGTGTTTTTCTTTTTAATCTTGATTTATAGAAAAGAGCATACAGTGCTTTTAGTCTTATTTTATAAAAGCAATCAATACATAATACCACACAGTTACAAATGAGTATTTATAACACAGTTATCCTCCTGGAAGTTATGCATACGGTGAGTTGTTGATATGCACATCCAAGGGAAGCCTACGCATTCTCTTCGGTGTGAACTATTTTTTCATACGCTGCGTTAGAGGTGGAAGACCTGAGAGTGTGTCTGTTTTCTTTCTTTACAATTCAGTCTTCAACAACTTCAGAGCTTTCTGCATATTTGCATACACTAGAAAAACAAACAGATCATAAATCAGGGAGGCGGGGGGAGGGTGTTGTACAAAAAGTAATCTTGCATGTAATGCACATCAGTTTGAACTTCCTAAATTATGCAAATTGCAATAAACCAAATCTCACTTTAATTTCCCAGCATTTACAATAGCAGAAGCAGTGCATACTGTTAATGGTCCACACATCATTGACAACTCAGTTAAATTGGATAACATGGATTTAAATGGATTTAATGGTGCTTTTCATGCTGAGGTTCCCATGCGGTGAGCCATTATTGTGCATAGGACTCCATCATGTGGGTCATCTCAGGTGCAGAACTTGCTCTGGGAATATTTTGGCAGTGGCATGGAAACAAATTGCACCATGTTGGACCATTTATGTGGATGGATTACCGGTTTCAGCTGGCATTCACACGGAATCCATATCGAAAACGGCAGACTCTAAACCATCTACATAAATGGCATCAGTCATTTTCTATGTGTTGCTATGCATATTTATTCAGACTTCAGGATGGTGAAATCTAGCCATTTAGTTTTCTCTCAATTCCACATTTTCCCAGTCTTAAATTCAGTTGTCTACATTTCCACATCAGTTTGTGATTTTTTTTAAAAAAGAAGTCATCATGAAAATTCACCAGCATTTATTACTATTTTATGCACATTTTGCAATGCTATTGTGCAACTGGAGGGATCTCCAAAGCAGAATTTCAGACCTTCCTTTGTTCCAAATCTATGCGAAAAGCTCTGCTAGGAAATACTTACGTAATGCAATGTCTGAAGGCTCGTAAGCATAGAGGCGGTTGGAATATCTTCCAGTAATATCTGCTCTAACTGTCAGTGACGGATCTGGAGAAACAATGATCACATTAACTTTCCATCTGCAGCCGTCAAAAAACCCTCAATGAAAATGGCTTCTACTGTCCCCATGCAAAAGATGCTTAACCACATGAATGTTGTCTATAATTCTCCAGTATGGAATTATGCATAGTCCCTTTTTTGCATATCTGCAGGGGAAACACTGAGAATTGTGGAGATTCCAGGGGTATCTGGCATGCTTACCAAAGTCTGTGTTCCCTTTTGGGACAAGATGACACAGCTGAGACTATGATGTCCTTATGACATATGGCTTTATTTACACATATAAACAACCTGTCCCTAGATGGAGGGATTGTAGGGCATTCACTTCCTATGAGGGTCTGGCTCCCCTCTTGAGTGCAGCATTGGATTCAAAGGGCAGCAAAAAGCCATCCTCGGTGTCTCTTCATTTCAGTCTGTCTTCCCCGGCTCTCCTGCTCCTCCTCCATGCTGCTAACCAACTCCAAGGACCTCCCACAGCCTACATCATTCAGTGACATAGGTGTCAACTCCACAGGGCTGAGATGTCTTCAGCCCCTTCCCCCCCACCCAAAGTCTGTTGGGACAGGGCTGAATCCCTCCTCCATCTTGAGGAGCCTGGCCTTGCAGTGGCAGCAGGCCTTGCTGGGCCTTGTGGCAGCTGTGGTGGTCCTAACACATGTGCACAATGTTGGGCAGAACTTGGCGCCTCTGTTCAGAGTGGAAACCCCAAACCTGGCACCCAGCCGAGAAGGGGGTCCACTCCCCCTTGCCTGGCATTCTTGCCCTTTGACGGTTTCCTTGATGGGCCATCCCTGGTCTTTCTCCTCCACTAATGGCCCATTCAGCTCGCTCTGCCAAGCTGGCTTGGCTTGTTAGCATAACTAAATCCTGGGGGTTCCCATGTCTGGCAAAGCTTAATTCTACATCCAGGAATTATGGAGAGAATCTGGCACCCAGGCATTTAGGGAAATCTAAATTCCCCACAAGTCCATAGCAAGGCTTTGTACACCAACAAAGCTTTTCTTTTCAGCTGCTTCCACTGAACAGCTGGTGGGCAGAAATGGGACTCGGTGATTTCTCCACCCCCATCCTAAATAATAACTAAGTAAAATGTAAGCTGTAGATGTTAAAGCAATGAGCAGCATCAGCCTGAGGGGGAATCTTCTTAAGATCAGTGTCATTCGTTAACTCCTTGGAGTGTGTGTAAAAAATCCACCCTTTAGCCAATTTAATAAAACGAGTGGGGCATATGCTCCATTGTTTGCAGAGAAGCAAGTATATTGGAAATAAATTTTGGGCAGGTTATTGTTGCAGATGCAAATGTGAAACGTTTCATTTTACACTACTACTTTTTTTTGGCCCTTTATCAATCCCCTCCTTAAAAACAGGAGAGGGGAAAGCTACCGTATTTTTCGCTCTATAGGACGCACTTTTTCCCCTTCAAAAATGAAGGGAAAATGTGTGTGCGTCCTATGGAGCGAAGACGCCATAGCCCCGCGACCCTCTCCCGGCCGGAGAGGTGATGCGCGGCTATGGCAGGAGCCTCTACAGCCGTGCGTCACCTCTCCAGCCGGGAGAGCGCGCGTGGGGCTAAAGAAGCACCCCGCGACCCTCTCCTGGCTGGAGAGGTGACGCGTGGCTATGACAGGAGCCTCTATAGCCGCGCGTCACCTCTCCAGCCGGGAGAGCGCGCGGGGCTAAAGAAGCACCCCGCGACCCTCTCCCGGCTGGAGAGGTGACGTGCAGCTATGGCAGGAGCCTCTCCGCTGTGCCTTTCCGCTGCTCCCTGACCTGCTCTTTGGGGCTGGTGGTGGGCTTCCCCCCGCCAGCCCCAAAGAGCAGGTCGAAGGAACCTGAAGCCTGGAGAGCGAGAGGGTCAGTGCACACCGACCCTCTCGCTCTCCAGGCTTCCAAGGTAGCCGCCTGAACGCATCTTAACGGCACCTTGTTTTAGAGTGGGAAAACAAGAGGGGAAGTTCTCCCCCTCTCTGCACAGCGCCTCCTGCCACTTCGCTGAAGGGGCGCTGGGCAGAGAGGGGGAGAATTTTTTTTCTTGTTCTCCCCCCTCTAAAACAAAGTGCGTCCTATTGTCCGGTGCGTCCTATGGTGCGAAAAATACGGTACTACAAATTATAAAAACTGGGTGGACATGTGGCAAGTGTATTGCATGTTAAGAGTGGTTTTATGGGACCCATCCTATAGGTCTTTGAGCAAAAACATCAATAACACCAGTGGTACAGGAGATTCAGGTTTCGCTAGCAACAGCCACATTCTCCAGTTGGAATGCTTGCAAAACCTTGTTTCCCCCATATTGGAGATGCAACCTGGAGATAAATTAAGCTTTCGTTCCACAGTAAATATTAACTCATCTCAGCTACAGTGGTACCTCTGGTTACAAACATAATTCATTCTGGAGGTCTGTTCTTAAGCTGAAACCATTTTTATTCTGAGGCATGCTTTCACTAATGACACTTCCCACTGCATCCTGGGGCAAAGTTCGCAACCAGGAGCCACTACTTCCGGGTTAGCGGAGCTTGTAACCAGAAGCGTGTGTAACCAGAGGTATCACTGTATTCAGCCTGGAATGGTCCCCCCCCCTCAAAAAAACAGAACTCTTTGACCCCTTAGCTACTCACCTACAAACAGGATTCTGGGAACATACTGGCCATCTGGTGAAAGATGTTTGTCTGTGGTTTCATACTTAAAGAAAAGAAAAAGAAAATACAAATACCTGTGATGCAAGCCATTTAGATCACACAGAGAAGAGTCAAAATATCTATTAAACACTGCCAGTTTCTTCAACATAATGAAAGGTTAGGTGGAATAGATGATGATGTGACAGCCATCCCCTAATGTATAATATAACAGAATTGGACCACAATGAGGATTGGATGAGCATTATAATTATTTTAGCAAGCACATCCACCCACTAAATTTCAAACACAGTATTTTTCCCTATATGGAGATAATATCCACATAAGAAAAATGTATATTAAACTGTTATACATGAAGAATGCACAGGTATCCGTTTTGTTGGGAAGCTCTATACTAGGGTTGCCATGTGTCCAGTTTTCCCCTGACATGTCCAGGATTCCAGTGGCGAAATTTCCATCCAAGGGGGATTTTTAAAAATTGACAAAGCGTCCAGGTTTTTGCAAACAGAACCAGGAAGTGTCTGCCCAAAAATAGGCCAACAACTTTTTGGGCGATCCCCCTCCCCCAAAAAAGCTCAACAACTGTTTGTGTCTGGATTTTTACTTCTCGAAATATGGCAACCCTATTTATATATTACTTTCCTAATAATCATGGCAATCTAAACACTTGCCTATTTTTCTAAAAACAGCAACCACCCGTATACAGATTGCTTCCATTTTGGAAAGATGCCCTGTGTGAACCAGCTCTAGGTAGAATTAAATACTGGTAGATCTACTTGAAACTTGGCCTAGAGAATAATTGCTCTATTACAAAAGAGAGCACTTGGTCAAGTGTCAAAGAAAACTTACAACAAGATTGAGGAGAACAAACTTCTCAGCCAATTTCTGTATCTCTTTGTGTTCAGCAAATACCTTCTTCAGTGCTAGAATGGGAGAAGAAGAAATTATACTCACTATTAGAAAAAAAGAAAGAATCTGAAACATAGAAAGAACATTATGTATCTATTGTCAGTACAGATCAAATAAAAATTCATGAACGCTTAAGGCCTGAAGGCCTAATACAAATCACTGTAAAATGAAAGAAACAGGTCTGGAAAAGTTTAGAAACAGGTCTGGGAACAAAAGGAGGTCAAGGTTATCGCAATCAATGTTTTGGGTTTTTGAAACCTGGATTCTTTTGCTTAGCAAAGGAATTCACAAGAAGCCTGAGGCTGAAATCCAAACTCCACTTACCAGGAAGTAAGCCTCACTGAATTCAAGGGGTCTTACTTCTGAGTAGACACAGGATTGCAGTTTAAGACAGGAAACTGCACTTATTGACTTACTCATGCTATGTCACTCTAGTTTGAATTATACAATGAATGTTTCATTTCTAAGGAGAGACGTGCTGGATCTAAGGCCTGCCTGAAAGCCAGTCTCTTAAGTGAACAGAAAACATATTCACAACTGTCAATGAATGCATGGAGTTTGGGCATTCATACGATGTGTGGACAGGCTATCATTATGAACAAATGTGTGAATCTCTGTTTCTGACTGTGATCATTTCTGAGAGGGGGGAAAATGTAAATAGAAATTTCTGCCTTCCATTCATCTAAACCTCCCCAGTTATTAAGTACAGGATAAAAATATAGATTACACTTTCAGTGTAAAAAGAGCCGGTTTATTGTTGTTGTTGTTATTGATAGCAATTGTGTTTGCTTGGGTGTAGACCAAAAGATTATGTATCTGTTGGAGAGAATGGTACCTTGACTGTGAGGGCAGTCTTCTAAGTGGTGGATGACCATTATAGGTTTGTTGCTGAAAAGAAGAAAAGGTCCATTTTAGAATCTCACAGTAGCAGGCGATAAAAAGAGCAAAACTCGTGATGGACAAAAATCTCAATCACTTAAGATTTAAGGTTCTGAAACATTTCTCATTTCTTAGAGTGGAAGGAGGAGACCTTCACACGCCATAGTGAAAACCATGTGAAGATAGGGGGACTTACTTAGTCCTGGCTTTATGGAGAGCTTCTTCATAAGTCTGAGTCCAGATAAGCTGATCCCCCCAGCCTGAAAGGAAATGATGAATGGAATTTAGTTTTAAAGCATATTGTGACTGAGGAGGCATTAATCCCATAACCACTTGTAGGGTTGCCATTTTTGAAGAGCAAGGAAGAGGGCCCATTTGCCGACTTCTACTTTTAACTATGGATCACTATGACAACACACATTTTACATACCCATGAAAAAGAGGATGTGTCCTGGAAAAAGAGGACACATGGCAACTGAACTGAGTCCTGAACAAAGGCAACTCTAAGTGAGGCTTAGTGCTGGCCATCAGACAATGGCTTTTCCCACCTGCCTTGCCCTACCCTCCAGCCCTAGAAGCCATGATAAGGGAGCTGTTTCCAGAGGAAGAATTGTGAGGGGAGAGAGACTTTCTGTTTGACATCAGGGGTTGGTTGGTTTAATCTGTGCTGCCTCAATTCCAGTCTGAGGAACCTTCAGAAGGGAGTTGCATTCATGACATGATGTGTATGTGTATTTTAATGAGCTGAACAGAGTGAAAGATTGTGAGTCTTTGATGCTATTTTGTTAATGTTGATATTATTTTATAGATTATAAATGCTGTATTTGTTAATCATGTAATATGACTTTTGCTTACATTGTGATGTTCGGCTTGTTTTTTAGTTGTTGTTTTGTTAACAGTGTTTTATAGATTGCAATTGTTTCCCTGATGATTTGTGAATTATCCTATATGATTTATGCTGTGTTTGTGATGTTTTGTCATGTTTATTGTGTTCTGTCATGTCGTTATTATTTATTGTTTGTAAGATGCTTTGGGATACATTCAAATGAAAAGTGGCATAGAAACATAATACAGCAAATAAAATAAAACAAATCACTAATATAAACAAATCCAGCTATATAAGCTTATGCCAGTTAGCCGAACTACCTCCTGCCAATACTATATTTTTAGGGGTTACTGTATTTACTCGAATGTAATATGCACCTTTCTCGGCCAAATTACGTTGCAAAAATTAGGGTGCACCTCAGATTTGGTGGCGCATTTACATTTGCTAGCAAATACATTTTTTGGTTTCAAGGTTTTGAAAATTGAGGTGTGCGTTAGATTCGATGGTGCATTGGATTTGCGTAAATACGCTTCCCCCCCCCAACCCATTGATTAATTGCAATGATTTCTTCAAATGCTGGCATTAATCTGAACTAGCACTCATTTCAAGTTCAATGTGAAATTTAGATAATTACCTGCTACGAATTACTGACTGTTGGAGAAATGTCTCCTGAGGCTTCCTTATTTAAATAATATGCACCCCTTCTTACTGAGAAAAGACCCTCTTACACTACAATCTTATAACAACGTATAAGGGGTAAGCCTCACCAAACTCAGTGAAACTCACTTCCAAGTAGACATATGTTGGATTGTGCAGTTTTGTAAGTTTTCAAAAGGCAGGATCCATCAGAACAACCTTGTGAGATAGGTTAGGCTAAGAGAGGTCACCCAGTGAGTTTCATGAGTGAATTGGAATTGGAACCCTGGTTTCCCATGTCCTAGTACAACACTCTAATTGCTACAAACCCACTTGGGTCTGTTCTGAATCTCCCATCATTTTGCTTCATTGGATGGTCTTGGGTTCTAGTATTTTGATAAAGGGTTAAAAAAAAAACACCTTGTATTCCCACTGCACTCAGCTAGCATTCCTTTACCTCTGGAGAGAGTCTGGGGCAGTTTGGGACGGGTTTCTTTTACATCCTTCTTTTCACTTTTCACAGTAGTGTCTTTCGCTGAAATGTATGAGACGGCGACAAGCAAAAGCAATACCGATATGAGGCTCTTCTCCATGGTTGAAGCTAGGGGGGAGAAAAAAAACATTAAGGATTTATTCAGCTGCATTACAGAACAGGAGACTATTAGGTATGGAACAATAGAGGCATGCAATCAATCTTGCTGGCTAAGTTACAAGCAATGGAATGGAATTACTCTAGTTCCAGCTTGGTCACAGTAAAAAAAAAAAAGGAGCAACTGAATGTTAAGTGCTACATACAACATGCATGAGAAACTCGGCTTGGGACTCCATGTATAGTATGCATAGAAGTCCTTCTGTGCTCAAGCAGGGATAGGAAACTATATGGAGTTTTATGCACCATTTACGTGGGTGGTGCTGTGGGTTAAACCACAGAGCCTAGGACTTGCCGATCAGAAGGTCGGGGGTCGGGGGTGAGCTCCCATTGCTCGGTCCCTGCTCCTGCCAACCTAGCAGTTCGAAAGCACATCAAAGTGCAAGTAGATAAGTAGGTACCGCTCTGGCGGGAAGGTAAACGGTGTTTCCATACGCTGCTCTGGTTTGCCAGAAGCGGCTTAGTCATGCTGGCCACATGACCCAGAAGCTGTACTCCGGCTCCCTCGGCCAATAAAGCAAGATGAGCGCTGCAACCCCAGAGTCGGTCACGACTGGACCTAATGGTCAGGGGTCCCTTTACCTTTACCTTTACCTTGGTATATGCATATTTGTGCACATTACTTGGCTGGTGAATTGCATTGCAACATTCAAAGAAGTCTGAATTTTGAAGGATGGCTGTGTTTCATTTTGCTTACTGTTTAGAAAGTGTGAATTAGGTAGATTTGCTTAAAAAGCAAACTGAATCCAATTTCTTCCCCATCCCTATAAGGAAACCTTCCATTGATGGCTACATCATGAAGACAAACAGAGCTAAATGTAACTCTACTGTGATATTCAAAGTTGTTACTTTGAATTAAAACTAACCTTTATTTCCCAGTCGCTAATTTGGTGTTTACTGTGGACTTGAAGGAAATGGAGCCATGTAAAGCAAATCAAAGTATTTATGAGGCACTTGCCTTGGGTTGTGAGGAGCGAAACACTTTTCTCAGTGCGGTGACAACAGGGAAATATTTAGGAGACAATGAAAACAAAATACCGTATTTTTCGCTCTATAACACGCACCCAACCATAACACGCACGTAGTTTTTAGAGGAGGAAAATCCGTAGGCATGCCACCCATAGGCATTCCCTCCATAACACTCACAGACATTTCCCCTTACTTTCTAGGAGGAAAAAAGTGAGTGTTATGGTGCAAAAAATACGGTAGTTTCACATCCCTAGGCTTGCCAAGGGGCTATGCTTTGACAGCCAGTGTCCACTTAACGCACCCCAAAGCTGCAGTCTTATGCACATTTACCCTTGTGTAAGACCCACTGAGCACAGGGGTACTTAATTCAGAGTACGCATTGCAGGGAGTTGGACTAGATGACCCTCAGGATCCCTCCCATCTCTACAATTCTATGAGTCTACGTGTTAAGATTGTGCTGTGTGTCTTCACATATCATGCATTCCCCACCCTGCAAATGTACAGCCTGATCTTATCCATGCTTACTCAGAAGTAAGCCCCAATGTGTTCAGTTAGACTTGCTCTCTTGTAAGTGTATATATCGAGCACTGCAGCCTTGAAGTTTTCTAAGCCAATTAAAAGTAATTCAGTAAGTTTTAGAATGAATGCATCTCAAGATGCTAATTCTGCTAGCATCTCCAGTGCTCCCTATCTTGACGGTGAACGTCATTCTGAATGAATCTGATTAACCTCATTTTAGTCCAATTATAGATCTGTTGATTTCAAAATCCTGACTTTTAAAAATAGTATCCATCGCTACGGGGGACTGACAGTTGATGCTAAGACCTGACGATTCTCACTCAAGGTGGCAGACTGCAAATTTGAGAGAAGCAAAGGGTTTTCTGTAGGTCTCAGGACCAATTCAACAGTGGTGGCATATTGAAGCATGGGCTGTTTAACCTTACACAAAGACTGGCTAGTTTAGCTGCATGATGCGCAAAGCTGGGTCCTGCATTCCAACTGAGGATTCCATCTCACTCTGCTCAGTGGCAGGACCGGCCCTGGAGTTTTGATCAGTATCTCAGTTTAGACCCCAACTGCAAGGAACAGCAGAAGTTCTATTTAAAGGCATGACTCTCTCCACACACACACACACACACACACACACACACACACAGCAGATGTCCAACTTAAGAAGAAGTAGCGATGGTGTTGAACCCTCCTCTCCACCATTAATCCGTGCGGCATGTCTCTCTACATGCTCTCCACCCAGGTGAGCTTTGATGCTGGAGATGCACACAGGGCTGGGAGAAAAAGTTCTGGGATGAGGGGCTGTGGGTAAGAAGCAGAGGGGTCTCAGCTGCACACCCCATTTGGCTCTCTAGATTGGCCCCAGGTCACTGGGGCAGCCTTGCAGAGAATAGGTCTGCCTCCATCAAATTTGGCTAAGGATGGAAACTTCAAAATAACGGTACCCTTTGAGATAATTAAGTCCCTGCTTTGAAGATCAAGCGGGGCTGATATGGTCAGGATTAAGTCTACTATGCTCAAAATCAGGAAATACAATTTTCAAGCACGTTACTCATCTTCCATATTTTCTTCTCATATTTTCTACAACAATCAGGAAACATTGGTGGTCAAAATGCACATTCTGAAGCTTCAGTCCTAAGCATATTAACTTGGAAGTTTGAATGATATCGAATGGGGCTGATTTTCAGGTTTTGGATCTGTCGGTTTTTTTAAAGAGGGACTGCAGTCCTGTACACACTTACATGCCATGCCATGCCACATGTTAGGACTTACTTTGCAGAATAAACATGCACAGGATTGTTTTATTAAAGTGACTGACATCCTTATGTCTTCATGGGAGAAATTAAAATAGGCACGTTTTTGGAGGAGTATTTGGCTTTTTAAGAAAACAGGCTTGCAAGGACATCTTGTCATCCTTTGAAACCACAGGGGTATTTAAGTAGGCCAATATGCATCTAGCTGAGTCACTTTTTACAGCACAGCTGATGTCAATGGGCACTATGTTAGCATCAGGGAAGCGGGAAGAAACACAACTGGGCAGAAAATGGAAGAAGTGGGTGGGTGTGGGGCACGATCCTTCCAAGCAGCCAAAGATAGACAGCTGATTCAAGACTGGTAAATGTAGTACACAGAAACCATAGCACCATAGAAGAAAACAGAGCTTTGACAAAGGCATTAGAACAGGGGTCAGCAAACTTTTTCAGCAGGGGGCTGGTCCACTGTCCCTCACACCTTGGGGGGGCAGACTATATTTTTTTGGGGGGGAATGAACAAATTCCTATGCCCCACAAATCCCCCAGAGATACATTTTAAATAAAAGCACACATTCTACTCATGTAAAAGCACACTGATTCCAGGACCGTCCATGGGCCAGATTTAGATGGCGATTGGGCCAAATCCGGCCCCCGAGCCTTAGTTTGCCTACCCATGCGTTAGAAAGTGCTTGCACCTGCCAAGCAGGAAATCAGGCAAAGGGGTGGGGATCAGAGCTGTTAGCAGATCCAGTGGGAAAGCAATGACTGACAAAAGTTACAAAGGTTTGTAAAGCTTAACACACACACACACACACACACACACACACACTTGTGGTCGTCAGCATAGTTAGTGGAAGAAACAGCAAAACACTCTAGCTGCTGTTCTTAGTTCGAACTGCTGCACAGCCCTTTCACTGCCCTTTCACTGCTCCAGTCTTCCCAGCCTGTTCTTTGTTACCTGCCCATCAATAAGTAACCTGACTCACAAGCTCAGAGGACTCTGAACAGGTGCTTTGCTAAGCCCAGAGCTGATCATCTTACCTGCTCTGCCCTCCTCCTCCTTTGAGAAACTGCTAAAGTGTTCCAAGTTTCAGTGTGAACAAGGAAGGTGTGGTATGCCTATTTATGCACCTGGGCACACCTCATCCCCACCCACAAGCTGTGGCATTTGAATACTTCTGATGCAGGGGGAAACCTCTATTTTATTTTACTTTTTAAAAGAAAATAAATAAAAGACAAGTCGTTTGCAAGTAATTTCTGAAACAAATAAATGCCATCAGCGTACAGTATATCAGTAGTTTTAGAAAAGTCAAATTTATAGGTGTATATGAGAGTTTGGGGAAATATATTTTCTGATGTGGGCAATGAGCCAAATCCAGGTAAGCATAAATCAAGGCTTCTGATTTGCCTGAAGGCTGATCTGGCTTTTTGTGATTGGACAGAAGCTTCGTTCTAAAGCACAGGTCTGCAATTCCTTTGAGAAGATGAAATTGGATATGAATTTAAGTGTGAATTAGATGGTCATTTTACTGAGTACAGGGCACTGATTCAGATCAAAGAACCCAAGGGAAATGCCAAATGAAAATGGAACCTGACAGTTCATCTTCCAAAGCAGGGTGCGGTGTTGGCCCACAATTCCCATCGCCCATAGGACTTGGAGCCTAACAGCAAGGTCACTGGTTCCCCACCATTGCTTTAAAGTGCCTTTTACATCACTCCAGTGTTGGAAACCATGCTGAAAATATGAATCTCATAATTTAAGGAGGGAGCTGCCCAGACCCTCTGCCTTCAGTGTGAAATGATTTTATTGGACTGGATTCAACTAAGCCAGTACACTAGTGGAAGCCGGTGCTGAGACTCCTGCTAGCTCAATGGGCTTGCCTCCCTCTCCTCTCGCCTGGGTGCCCCATCTCCCCCAAAACTATTCTGGAGAGTCAGGAGAACCCCCAGGACAGCAGGCAGAGGAAGGAGAGGGGAGGTCATCTTATCTGCCACTGCTTGCATTGATGGAGCACTCAAATTAGTGCACTGTTGAATCCCACCTGGTGTTCTTCTTGGAATAGTAGCTGTTTCCTAGCAACGAAAGGAAGAGATGCTGAACCGAACAGATTGCTAAGTGAATTTCTATATCAGGGAGGCATATCAATGCATGCAATTTGATGTGGTGAACGTTGTATTTCACAAGTGCATACCCTTAATTTTGCAGGCGTTCTAGGAGTCTGTGTGTGAGTACTGAAGTGTGCACATGCCAGGGACTGCATTGAGTAGGAAGGTCTGAAGGGAGATTCATATATATAGATATATATAGATATAGATATATAGATATATAGATATATAGATATAAAGAGATATATATATATATTATGTTTTATTGAATTTAGTAGATAACAAAACATTCTTATGAATGGTATAACAAAAAATACAAGTAAAAATCACTTCATTCCTAAACAATTCATTTCACCAAACATTCTTACTCAGTTACATAAGACTTCCTATCACCCCCCCAATGTGTGTGCTGATTCTATTGTCCAGTTGTAGTAATAATTATTACATTATACTGTTAGTATAACGTATGGGGTGAGCTCCCGTTGTTCGGTCCCAGCTCCTGCCAACCTAGCAGTTTGAAAGCACACAGTGCAAGTAGATAAATAGGTACCGCTCCGGCGGGAATGCAAACGGCGTTTCCGTGCGCTGCTTTGGTTTCGCCAGAAGCGGCTCAATCATGCTGGCCACATGACCCAGGAAAACTGTCTGCGGAAGTGGACAAACTCCGGCTCCCTAGACCTTTAAAGTGAGATGAGCGCCGCAATCCCAGAGTCATTCACAACTGGACTTACCAAAATTGTCAGGGATCCCTTTACCTTTACGGTTAGTAAAAGGTAAAGGTAAAAGTACCCCTGCCCGTACGGGCCAGTCGTGTCCGACTCTAGGGTTGTGCGCTCATCTCACTTAAGAGGCCGGGGGCCAGCGCTGTCCGGAGACACTTCCGGGTCACGTGGCCAGCGTGACAAAGCTGCTCTGGCGAGCCAGCACCAGCGCAGCACACAGAAACGCCGTTGACCTTCCCGCTATAAAGCGGTACCTATTTATCTACTTGCACTTACGGGTGCTTTCGAACTGCTAGGTGGGCAGGAGCTGGGACCGAAAGACGGGAGCTCACCCCGCTGCGGGGATTCGAACCGCTGACCATGCGATCGGCAAGCCCTAGGCGCTGAGGTTTTACCCACAGCGCCACCCGCGTCCCCTTACTGTTAGTATTGTCTTATGATTTCCAACATCTTTTTGTATCCATCTTACGATATTTTTGGTTACTAATTTATACAGAAATCATTCAAATTCTGCCATAGAAGGGAGATTCTTAGCAAGGTGGGCTCAAATAAACTAATTGACCGTTCTTCTATGGATCAGAGCCCCTACATTACTAGGTTTTCTGATTGTGGGGAAGCTTCTAAGAGCAGGAAGATTGGAGACGGAACAGAGAACTGCAAGTGACCCCATTCTGAGTTGCCATCTCTCAAGGCTGTAATTGAACAAAGAGCGTAATGCACTCTCAAAAATAGTATAGCCCAAGCCATTTTAAAGCTTTCTAGATCAATACTAAGCACCTTGAATTGTGCTAGAAAGGAAAGAGGAAGCCATGAGAGCTATTAAATCATCACCTCACAACACCAAATTTGGCACAGATTGTTCCAGATATTTGCTGCTCTCATTAAGTCTTAACAGCTACCAGTGTTCTCCTGATGTAAAAAATGACAGAGTTTTATGACACCTTAAAGATGTATGAATATATAATGGCATAAGATTTTTGTGGATTAGAGGCCACTTCACTAGAGGCAAGAAGTGTTATCGTCAGCAGATGCAGCTGTAGGGGGGAAAACATTGTAAACTGTGGGGTAAAATGCCTGTGAAATGCAAAAAGCATAGTCTGTGAAAATCCAGCCAAAGTTTAATTGTTGCAGAACTGTACTCTGTACATTTCACAGGCATTTGACTCCATAGTTTACAGTTTCTCCCCCGATCCACATATAACTACCATGTTTAATTGATGCTTGAAATAATCTTTGTGAAATACTTTAAAAATGGAACAAAAAACAAAATCTGTACAGGTTCTGATATCGCAGTAATAAAAGCCTGATAGTGCAGGTAAACCTTCTGTGACACACACACACACACACACACACACACACACACTTTGTGGCCCCTTCAAGATCAACATGATAGTTGTAGCATGTTTCCATGGACTAAATTGAGCCATACTGCTTGCTACAACCATGCAGTCATTGGTAGTTTTGCTAACTATGGGGAAGGGGCATTTGCACAGCAAAACCGCTGCCGAACTTGAGAGGAGGTGGAGTTGCGGGCTTCACGCCCTCTCCACGTGCACGGGAGCTGGCTCTCAGCCTCCACGCGATTGAGGGGATCCCTAGCCGCGCCATCCCCTGGCCAGCCAATCGGCCGCCGAGCGGTGACCCCGGGAGAGTTCCTAGTTGATGTGCATCAGCAGGACTCTCCCTACTAGTGGTTAACTCTTCCCGGACTTCAAGCAATTGGGCTGAAGCCGGATAGTCGGTTAGGACCAATGCCTAAGCCAATACCACTCATTCCTGTAACCAATAAAGTTGTGGCCATTTTTTGCCCATTAACCTAAATATTTGTGTCATGTGTCTTTATTTCCACTGGGGGGAGGCGGGAACTCGCCACGCAATAGAGCACCTGTTTCAAATGCAAATGCTTCCTGATTGAATTCTTGGCATTGCCAAACAGGACTGGGAATAGCCCCTCTGCGAAGCCCTGGAGAGGCACTGCCAGCAAGTGTAGCCATTACTGAGCTAGATGGACCAATGGTCTGACTCAGTGGGAGGCAGCGCCCAGTCTTCCCACTTTGTGAGATGAATGAAGCATTTATCCTTGGTGGATGTATACAGAAGGCTACAGAAGTGTATGGGTGGGGAAGCAAATTTTGTAAACAGTGGGGTCCAGAGTCTGCAAAATGGAGAGGGCACTCACAGTAGGCCTGCGACAACCACCACCACCATTTCTTGGCTGTTTCATGCTGTCTCTGGTATAATTGACATACTTTTTTGCTGCCTTTTATTGTTTCGTTGTTGATGATTTTATTCTTCCTATACAGTTGTAGCTTGGTTTCTGAACAGAATGCGTTCCAGAAGTCCGTTCAACTTCTGAAACGTTCGGAAGCTGCGGAAGCCACGCCAGACGTTCGGCTTCTGGGCAAAGTTTTCAAATTGCAGCAGCTACTTCCGGATTTGCGACATTCAAGTTATTCAAGTTCCAAGTTGTTCGTGAACTAAGCTGTTCGAAAACCAAGGTACGACTGTATTGTATTTTACCCTTTGTTTGTAAGCCTTCCAGGGAATATTGATTAATACTAAAAATGCACATACTTAGGGCAGTATGTCAGCTCTTGTTCACAAAAGCTTATGCCGCAACCAGTCTTTAACCAGTCTTTAATGCATTGCATAAGACTCTTTGTAGTTACAATTGCCTTACGGGCATTGATTGATTAGAATCAGTAATGTCCACCTAACCTTTACCTGGTTGGTGTGCCGTACCAAAAAGTTGTAAAGACACGTGGACTTAAGGCCCAGCTGCAGATCTCACCGTCTCTCATGCCATAGCAAATATGTTTCCTAAGGTGGAGACTGTAACAGGCTACAAAGTCCAGTCATCGTTATCCAGGTAAAAAAGGGTGTTCACCTTGATTTGCTGGATGCATTCTTCTTTCCTTGCTTCTTCCTTGGCTCATAAATGCAACAGCTGCTTGTTCTTTAAGAACTGGCACCCGCTAGCTTAAGAAAGAGTGGGGTGATGGAAAAAGATAAATAGGATGACACTATATGCAGAAAAAGACAGATCCTCCAAGTTACCCAGATACATGTTTAGTGAAGTGAACACATTTAAATATAAATCCTCCTTTAGGGGCACTATGTACTTAACCCCCCCCCCTAATAATTCTCAAGCACAATCAGCTTGAGTTTTTGGTTGAGTTGAGCAGGGTCAATGAGTGTGACCCTAAGCTCTCCCTTCTATGCATTCAGTGAATGTGAAAATGGCTTCTGTGCTATAGTGTGGAAGAAACTGAGGTATTCCTTGGGTCCGTGCAACATCTTTGTTTTGTTGTTTACTCCTTATGTTCGGAATCAGAGGTCATATAAGGACTGCATCGACTTCTTCCTTTCAATGCAACATTCGCCATTGTAAATGCAAATACTGGCTTGTGCCACAACAGCAAAAGCTCTAGGGAGTGCTTGGACTTCACTGCAGGTTTCTAGAAACATGCAAGAATGTGTCAAGTCTGCTTCACCCAGACCGGAAATGTCATTGGATGATGTGTACCTAACTTCTAGGGCAAATCCTGCTGGGCTGAGCTATGACGCTGCACTAGCCTTGCTGAGTGTCCCATCCCTGAAAACAAACAACCACAGTGCTTTGTTAAGGTATTAAGGCCTAGTCATCACTCCAAGGCTTGACAGAATGTTATTTCTACCTGAGGATTTTTGAGGCTTGGGCCTCATCAGCACCATACATTTAAAGCACCGTTCTCCCTTAGTGTCCCCTCCCTGAATAATAGGAACTGTAGTTTAAAGGTGCTGAGAGTTGTTAGAAGACCCCTATTCCCTTCACAGGGGACTGTGAAGAGTGATTGCTGACTCTTAGAAAGGCATAAGTGTGTTTTTAATGCATGGTCTATGTTAGCCTGTACTTATTTTCAGGATTACTGATCTTTGAAAGTGGCCCTGAGCCCCAGGTCTGTTATGTCAGGCCACTGACCCCAGTACCCAGATCTCTAGGCCAGTTGGCACTGCTGCTGGCTACCCTTTCCCATTCTTGTCAGTCTGGGAATCTGCTGCTTCTGCTGGCACTGATTAGGATGAAGAGTGGGTCTGGCAGGGAGAACAACGCATACAATCCAACATTTCTCCAATGAAAATAGGGACGTCCCATTCCATATTGATAATTTTACTATTTATACCCCACACATCTTACTGGGTTGCCCCAGCCACTCTGGGCAGCTTCCAACATATATAAAAACATAACAAAACATTAAACTTTTTTTAAAAAAAACAACCTTCCCTATATAGCAGTGGTTCTCAACCGGTGGGTCCCACATGTTGTTGGACTACAACTCCTATCATCCCTGAGCTCTGGCCTTGCTAGCTAGGGGTGATGGGAGTTGTAGTTCAACAACATCTGGGGACCCACAGGTTGAGAAAGGCTGCTATACAGGATTGCCTTCAGATGGCTCAGGGGGTTGCATAACACCATACCCTCCAACATTTCTCCAATGTAAATAGGGACATCCTACGGAAAAGTGGGGCATTCTGGGGTCAGATCAGAAACCGGCTTCTCTAAATCACAAACGTCCCTGGAAAACAGGGACACTTGGAGGGTCTGACAGCTCTGGAAGAAGGAAGGCAGCTTAAAGTGGTGTCTATTCAGCTTGGTTATCCACTGCCACCGCCGACACCTCTTGGGATAGGTAGCCTGGATAAGATGGCAGCAGACCCAAGGTCTTGTCTGGCCTTCTTCCCGTGGAACTCCTTCTGCCAGGTTGACTCTTCATCTTGCTTGGCTGCAGTGGTGGCATGGGGTAGAAAGGGAAGGTCTAAGGGGTTTGTGGAGTATAGTGTGTGTTTGTTTGTCTGTCTGTTTTACAAGATCTGGGGTGGGTTTTTTTGCAAGCTGTGAGGGGGTTGGTGAAGACTGAGGGTGGATGGGGGGTAACCAAGGTGTAGTTGGGATTTTGGTGAGAGTTTTTTGGTGAGTGGGTAGGCAGAGTTAGTGAGCAAAGGGATTGGGATGGGGATGACCATGTTGGCAAGGATTAGCGGTCCCAGAGTTCCCAGTAAAGAGGGATGGACTGTGAAACCACCCAAGGAACTGTAGCTCTGTGAGGGGAATAAGGGTCTCCTAACAATTCTCAGCACTCTTAACAGACTACATTTCCCAGGATTCTCTGGGGGAAAGCCATGATTGTTTCAAGTGGTATCATTGTGCTTTAAGTGTATGGTGTGCTTATAAAGATAGACACCATCATTTCATTGGGCAGCATCATTTCATTAGGTATCCTGATCTCTGAGAACAACTTTGACTTCCTTTTCCACATCCACAAGGCAGAAAAACTTATTAAATTAGTGGAAAAAATATATAACCCTGAAAAATGTCTGTACAATGGTGCGGGCATATGAACAAGATCCTGGTGCAAGTTTCCAGGAACTTTGTTGCACTCAGTTCCTGCTTATTGCTTGCTTACAAAACTGATTGGCAGAATTGTACTTATTTCTGTAGCCCGTCTGATGTTTCAACTATGGTGAAATCAATGTATCTTTGCCATCTTTAGTGTGTAGTATTGGAAGCTGGACAAGGGGAGTCAGATAACAACAAGTGCTAAGCATGCTTAGTTCAGCTTGCAAATATTTCATTAAGCGATAGCAAACCAGTTCGTTCTGTTTCAAAGCCCTCTCAGAGCAGGGTGGTTACTGATTAGTCTGCATATGAGAACTTGGAATAGAAATACTTCACTGCTCTATTTACCCAGAAACCGCTTTTTTAATATGAAGTCAGAAAGGACCAGGGATGTCCTGAACAAAAATAACAGAATGCTTCCCCCATGTTGCAGATCACATGAGATTATTCCTCAAGAGCTGATCTGTGTTCTGCTGCTCTGGGGTTTGCGAGTTATGGCTGTTTATTGTTGGTTTTACAGTTTTATGCATTTTATTTTATTATTGTAAACCATCCTGGGATCAAGTGATGAAGAGAAGTCCATAAATCTCTTCCATTGATGCATACATGTACAGTAAATCTGCATAGGTAAAGGTAAAGGACCCCTGGATGGTTAAGTCCAGTCAAAGGCGACTATGGGGTTACGGCACTCATCTTGCTTTCAGGCCGAGGGAGCTGGCGTTTGTCCACAGACAGCTTTCTGGGTCATGTGGCCAGCATGACTAAGCCGCTTCTGATTCAACGGGACACCGTGATGGAAACCAGAGTACACGGAAATGCCATTTACCACAGTGGTACCTATTTATCTACTTGCACTGGTGTGCTTTTGGACTGCTAGGTTGGCAGAAGCTGGGACAGAGTAACGGGAGCTCACACCGTTGCAGGGATTCAAACCGCCAACCCTCTGATTGGCAAGCCCAATAGGCTCAGTGGTTTAGACCACAGCGCCACCCGCGTCCTTTAAAACCTGCATAGGATGCACATTTAATATACGTTATTTCAAATACATGCAACTGAAGACTATCAAAGGGAAGGATTGAAGGCAAAAGAAAGCTGGAAGCCCCAGCAAACCTAGTGCAAAAAGAGCTTTTAAGCTCCGATCCTCTCCTTCTGGGCAAGTCGTGATTGGTGCACCCTGTGAACAAGGTGTCTTTGGTCAGTAGAGCGGTTGCTCTGGGAGCGGTGGGGATGCTCTAGTGGGACAATCTGACTTCCAGTTATTTTCTTCCAGTAAGCAGAGCCATAACAAAAATCTGGTTTTTGTTTATTTCTTTTATACCACCTAGGTGATTCACATGAAATTATGGGGAAATCACCCAAGGCAATCTGATCAGTTAGGCAGCTGGGATAGCTTAGCTGGTAGAGAGCATAAGACTCTTAATGTCAGGGTTGTGAGTTCTAGCCCCACCTTGAGTGAAAGATTCCCGCATTGCAGGGGTTGGAGTTGATGATCCTTGTGGTCCCTCCCAACTCTACAATTCTGTATTGAGATTGAATCCTCACTTGAGCCACTTGTTGTTACGCAACAACATCATGGCCTTCCTGCTAAACTGAATGAGAGTTAGAACTGTGCTGCATATTGGCCTGATCCAACTTTGGAGGCCACAGATAGTGCTTTAGAACACTTGAATTACGTCTCTTTAAGTTGTCTATATTTGCCATCCTCTAAATGGCAGTATTGAAGGGTGGGGTGTAACATTTGCAAATAAATGAATATTTGTCTGAAAATATCCATCATTTTCACTCTTGGGCACCATCATCTCATTTGGCATGGTATCTGCACTCAGTTTTCATAGGCGAAGGAACCGAGAGCATTTCCTCCTGTGCAGGGTGGCTCTCAATACTCATACATTTGGAATCTCTGTTGACTGCAGACAATGACCTTGGTTAGGCTGCCGTGTGATAAACAGCAAGTGGCTGAGGTTTCTAAAAGCACCTGTTCCGACTCCATGGATACGCTGCAGCGCGAGAATGCAGCGTTATGTGCTGCAGCCTGCTGTAATTCCCTCCTGCAAAAAAGCTGAGAGTCTGGATGCGACCTGGACTGACAGCTGACTTTTAAACACAGTAGATGAGACGGTGTCCCCAGCTGAACCTGCAGGAAGACACCTGTCTGCCCTTTGAGGTACAGAACAGAAGGGAATGACTGTGGGGCTCAGCTAGAAGGCTGCTGCTGCTCCTGACCTGAGTCGCTAGGAGGCGCTGTGGAGGACATAGTCAGAGGAGGAATGGGAGGAGCTTAGAGTTTCCCACCGGGTTGCAGGTCATTAATTCTGGGACACAAGAGGTTTTCTGAACTTGGGAAAGGACCCTATCACTTTCTTTTGTTATGTGGTCATAGACATGAACAAAAGGGCCCAGTGGCTTGAGTGATAGAGACCTGGACCCGGGTGATGATCCAAGTGGGTTAACAGAGGATTCTTCTATCCTTCTCCCTCTCCCTCACTCAGGAGCCCCCCATCACCACCAGGAGGTGGCTAGCAGAAAGTGAGATGCTGATCCAGCTATTATCTCTCACCATGGAGATGCCCGCACCAGCACAAGTCCAGTCCACCTGAAGATTTGCTAAATGGCTCACCCAGTCTCAGGACTCCAGCCGCTTGTCATGCTAAAGGTGTGCCTGCCCACTCTTTGAAAGGAAGGTGCAGCGAGTGTGTGTTGCTTGCTGGATCAACATCTTAGCTTATGCTTATCCATGCATTTAACCTCTCACGTAGCTGTGCATTCTTGTAACGTGGGATATGCTTTATGTACTGATCTAATCTGAAAATTAAAGACATGGGCAGAACTGGTGCTGTAAGCTCAAGTTCTTCATCCATCAAAGAGAGCCAGGACTATTCCCCCCCCCACACACACACCCAGCATCCACCACCTGTCCAATGGTAGGGCCAGCCTTATGCATTAGTGGGTTAAATTGTGGATCTGCAAGTTGAACAAGTGACCATATTCTTCCTCAGAGTCTCCATATGCTTCATCTGTTGCCCACAGAGATTTAGAAAGCATTTATTGTGCACCCTGATGGTGCCTCGCTCTTTTCCAAGCAGTACCAGAAGAGATAAAAAAACTTTTAAAAAGGCAACATCAAGAATGGTCTGGCAATGTCGGTTAAAACTGCAGTAAGACTGGTTTGACAAATGAGCTCAAGATCTCAGAGGGCGCGGTGTTGTACATTCTTAAGCACAATCAATTTATAATTGAATTCTAAAAATGAAAGTCGACAGGACTAAGCTAATCGAATCTAACCATTTTCACAGGTCATTTGCCCCCCTCAGGGCATGAGAAGCCACTGACTTAAATTCAGCTTGAAATTCAACAGTTTGAAACCACAACAATTAGATAAACAGATTTTTGGAAAGGACTATAGCTCCATGTGGAGCATCTGCTGTGCTTGCAGAAGGTTCTGGGTTTCATCCCCGGCATCTCCAGGTATTCCTGGGAGTCCTGTCTGAAACCTTGGAGAGCTGCTGCCAGCCAGTGTAGGCAATATTGAGCTCAATGGTCAAATGGTTTGAGGGCATGGTTTAAGGCATATGCCCATGTTCCTCCAAATGTGCTACTGCTCTTTGCTGTCAATATAGAAATGCAAAATTTATGTGGGAAATTGCCATAGTGTATGTTTGCAGCCAGTCTGGGCATCTAGGATGTTATCAAGGGTGCCACCGCTCCATACCCTTCCTCAAATGACCGCCAGAGGGAGGAAGGAAAACCACTTGGACCTCTGCTTAGAAAGCACAGTGTCAGGCACTGGGCAGAGGAGCAATGGTGGAGACCCACATCCCCAGCCTGACCCTTCCAGAGAAGAGGAAGACAGTTCAAAATTACAACAGGGGTTTGAGGGAGGTCACAGCTCAGAGGAAGATGAGGGGGAAAGCTGGGAAATAATGGGAGAGGAAGAGGAGGAAGAAGAAGCAACAGGAGGGCAACAGCTGGCGGAGACAGTGTCATTAGAAAGCATTTCAGATTCCCTCCTCTCCCAGAACCCGGCGAGCCTTGAAAGCAAAGGGTCCTCAGCACCACCCATATGGGAGAAGGTAACAAATGAAGAAGTGGGAGAAAAGGGGGTGGAGCACCACTTGGGGCAACACCATTATTCCAAGAGACTGCATTCCCAAGCCTCTCTCTGTAAATGTTGAATAAAAAGCAGATGGTAAGAACTTTTCCTTCTCTCTCTTTTTTTATATATACATTTTTATTAGTTTTTTAACACATCATTTTCAACAGTAATTAAACATACTTTTACATCTTATTCAATTTTTTTGCCTTCCATCAGTCCTGTCTGAAAATTTTCCAATCTACTCTCTTAGTATGCATTTCTTATTTTCCCTATTACATTTCAAACTCATAACCAATATCTCTATCTTTTTCTACTTTGTAACACTTTGTATATTTCTCCTTAGAGAGCCAGTGTGGTGTAGTGGTTAAGAGTGGTAGTCTCATAATCTGGTGAACCGGGTTCGCGTCTCCGCTCCTCCGCATGCACTCCACTGCTGGGTGACCTTGGGCTTGTCACACTTCTCTGAAGTCTCTCAGCCCCACTCACCTCACAGAGTGTTTGTTGTAGGGGAGGAAGGGAAAGGAGATTGTTAGGCGCTTTGAGACTCCTTCGTGGAGTGATAAAGCGGGATATCAAATCCAAACTCTTCTTCTTCTTCTTACAAAACTACAAAAGTTTTGTAACTTTTCCTTGTCTCATCCTGCTGTGGGGGTTGGCACCTCTGCTGCCTGACACACACAAAAAGTCGAAAACTTATTGCACCAGCGCTTTATAGGCACAGGAAAAGCGAAGTGTGGTTCACATTCCCCCATGGATTGTACTTACCGGTAAGTGGCATATTGCATAAACAGGATGGCTTCCTTTATGCAATGAGGCTCCTCCCCTCTCGACCCCATGTGTGCTTCCTAAATCTGTTCTGGGTCGTCGTCCCCCCCCCCAATCCTTTGGAGCAGGCTTAGCTTCTTCACTGAGTTATAAGGGGGCCGTTACTTGTCTCATAACACTCTTTCAAGGACTTTTGTAACATGCAATTGCCCCCAGTTTGCACCTATGTGAATTCTTTATTTCGCAATGGTGTGGATAATGCCTTTGTATTTTCATGCTTTGGTAGAGCATGCTGTGAGGTCATTTATGCACTCAGCCCTCTTGCTGATTCATTCTTAGAGGAACACACATCCTGGAGATTTCCTTTTGTTGAATTAGCTTTATGCACACGAGTCCCCGGATTTTCACCTCCAAAACGAAATTGACTAGGGGTGATGCATTTATAAAAAATAATAAAAAAGTGCCAGTAAAACAATCAGCTTCCCCCACAAAAAAACCACTGCCCACATATCAATACAATACTAAAAGGGGGGGGCACAGCACAAACTACACCTTAAGGAAAGAAAAGCAGCCTTGAGGAAGGGAAAGGAAACGCAAACAGCAGTTACAGTCAAGCCTTGCTGGAAAAGAAAGGAGTTTAATTAACCATTATATTGGATTTACCTAGAAGAGGCGTGAGAAATGAAGCCCCTAGAACATACCATTCTCAGACCAAGAGAAGATTGGTTCTCATTCTTCATTCTAATAGGAAGCACTGTAAGGCTGCCATTTACTCCACTTCCCTGGTGTTTCCAGTTAATTTCTGCCTTATATTTGAGCTTTCACATGCCATAAAAGTCTCTTCTGGAAATCTAATCTATATTTTGATTTTGTTCTGTGAACCGCCCTGAGACCTCCTGGTATAGGGCAGTAAAGGTAAAGGTAAAGGGACCCCTGACCATTGGGTCCAGTCGTGACCGACTCTGGGGTTGCGGCACTCATCTCACTTTACTGGCAGAGGGAGCCGACGTACGGCTTCCAGGTCATGTGGCCAGCATTCTGGCGAACCAGAGCAGCACACGGAAACACCGTTTACCTTCCCGCCGGAGCGGTACCTATTTATCTATTAGCACTTTGACGTGCTTTCGAACTGCTAGGTTGGCAGGAGCAGGGACCGAGCAACGGGGGCTCACCCCGTTGCGGGGATTCGAACTGCCAACCTTCTGATCGGCAAGTCCTAGGCTCTGTGGTTTAATCCACAGCGCCACCCGCATCCCTGTATAGGGCGGTACACAAATAATAATAATAACAACAACAACCACCAAATAAATCACAAGTTAGAGCTCACTCTGGAGTTATCTTCTTGAAGAAAAAAAAATCCACTTCCAAGTCTGGAATACGTTTGCAAACCTGGAGATTTTGCATAAGGTCCAGGAGATTCAGAGTCTCTTTCCTGCCTTATATTGCTGTCAAGTGGAGCAGTAGAACCTGGATGGAGCCTCTCACCAGTCTGCTGACCCTGTTGGCCACCTCTCTTTGTGTCCCCATCTCCCCTCCTACCTTGCTTGCCTTGCTGCTGAGGATGGACAAAGAGAAGCAGCTTTTCCAGTCCATCCATGCTTCTCACTACCACTGGAAGCAAGGGCATCACTCACCAGGCTTCCTGTCTGTACTCACCTGCAGGGTCTGGGTGAGGCTCCACTTGTAGTTTTCCTAAAAGAAAGCCACTTGTTTTAAGCTGGCAGTGTACTGGGCCTCAAAGTTTTAAAATGCAGTAAAATACATAGATTTTTCCATTCCTAAACAGGCTTATGAATCTACTGCTGTAATACTTAGGAAGGCCACTTATGTATCTCCAAAAAAAGAAAAGAGGATTTACATAAATCTGGTATGTGAAAATTTGGAAATAATTACTGTGATTTAAATAGAAATGCAATGCATCTCACCATATTAGGGACCAAGGGACTTGTGTGCTTACTGGGTGGTAAGGGTTGATGGACAGCTTCAAGGCCTCTGTTCTCCTTTCTTTCAACCAATCACGGACAGCCCTCTGAAACAGAGGACTGTCCTTTATAATGTAGGACATATGCCCCCTTGCAAATAATCCTATGGCAGGATTCAAACAGCTGTACAACTAGCTGGGCTAGCTCAAAGGGAATGTGGGCTTGTGGTTCTTGAAAATGAACTCTCCATGCTGTTGGCAAACCTCTTTTGAATGAATTTTACCGAAGCAGTTTGCAGTATATGACTCTGTGGGTGTGCATGTGTCTCTGATCTGCAAAATAATAATAATAATAATAATAATAATAATAATAATAATAATAATTTATTATTATTACAGATCCTGTTGGGCATTTCCAAATGCTCAGGGCAAACTTAACATAACTCTTTGAGCCCTGGTCTATAAATAGATAAACATAGCATGATGTCTAAAGTGGAATTACTTGAGAATTACAGATATTTATGTAATCATGTGAGATAGAAGTTTCATCTCCTCCGGAACCTCCTTGGAGAAAAGCAACATTCAGAATCCCTAGGTCATCTGCTGTAAGTCTTCTGTTATGATGATTGTCTCAGGCTAAAGTCTTATTATGGGCCTGTGGGGGCAACCCAACTACCCCCACCAAGTAAACAGAGCTAGGATTGGGCTTGAAGGATTTTAAATAGAGACGGCATACATACCATACAGTTAAAAGCCCTCATTTCAAGAATCCTGGGAACTTAAGAGTGCTAGGAATTGTAGCTCTCTGAGGAGTAAACTAGATTCCTCAGGCTTCTTGGGGAGAGGGGAGAAATGTGCTTTATTTGTATTGTATGTAGGCAGTCAAAGTTAGCGTTCAGGATTTATGTCTGAAGGAACACAGCAGCTTGCTACAACCAAATAAAGGAGAGCTGTGTTTCTGGATCTGACTGGTCCTCAGGTTAAGACACATCAGCATTTGGAATTTTCCTCTTCACAGGCCCTTTTTAGCAGCTTACAAGGAGGTGTAACACATAAAACAATGAAACGTAAATCAGCCCCAGAGCTCATTCATCCAGTTCATGCTTTTTCTGTCACCTAAATGCTGAGGTGTTCCAAAGCCTTTGGTCTCCATGGCAAACATTTTCTCCCTCTTTTGTTACAGCTCACAGCAAATATTTGTACAGAGTGAAATGTTCAGCCCCATATATTTATGGACCTGCCATCTGCTGAGGGGAGCCACCACCCACCTGGTAGGAGACGGATATAGGCTAAGGACCTGTTCCGTCAGTTTTCGACTCTCTGCATCCCCGTCCGTGTGCAGTTCTGAAGCTGGAGGAGTTTGTTTGCTTCCTGTTCAGATTACTGGCTGCCGATAAGAGGAGGAAAGAACGCGGTGCGCGCAAAATTGCTTGGGAATCGTATCAAGGCTTATCCCACACCCCGTTCTGCACACATCATTTTCAGTCTGAAACAAGTTCTTAGCTGTGTCGTGGAAGGAAAACTGGGCACAGCGTAGGGGCATGTCCTTTTGTAGGCATTTATAACAGCCCTCTGCAGGAGTTACAGAAAAAGTGTAAAGGAAGCATGCGGTGGGTGGAACAGGGACTAGCGTGTGAACTCTGCCTCCCCCCCCCCATTGCCATTCCTATTACCTTACAACTCATGGAAGGAACCTGTCTGAAGCAGGCAGCCTATTGTACTGCTGGAGATTCCATGTGAATTTGTAGAATGCACAGAAAAAGAGTCTTTATGACTATGAGCCAGTGTGGTGTAGTGGTTAAGAGTGGTAGTCTTGCAATCTGGGGAACTGGGTTCGCGTCTCCGCTCCTCCACATGCAGCTGCTGGGTGACCTTGGGCCAGTTACACTTCTCTGAAGTCTCTCAGCCCCACTCACCTCACAGAGTGTTTGTTGTGGGGGAGGAGGGGAAAGGAGAATGTTAGCCGCTTTGAGACTCCTTAGGGTAGTGATAAAGCAGGATATCAAATCCAAACTCTTCTTCTTATGTGTTTCCTTTAAGTCACAACTGCACTGTACATTAACAGCACTCTTATACCCTTTTAACAGTCTTGGAGAATCCTGGGAACTGTAGTTTGTTGAGGGCGCTATGCATGCTGTAAGCATGCCCAGGTGATTGTTGGGTGGGCGAATGGGAAACCAGGAGGAAGGGGGAACCTAAAGAGAGGCTCTTGAAAGAGGACATGGGTGGTTGGCTGGAACTCTGAATAGGGCAGCTGAATTGGTAGAGCAGGAGATTCTTAATCTCGGGGTTGTGGGTTTGAGCCCCACATCGGGCAAAAAATTCCTGCATTGGACTAGATGATCATCGTGGTCCCTTCCAACTCTACAGTTCTGTGGTTCTATGATTAGGAATGTTCGACGCTGCTGCATTTTGTTGCAACAAGTCCCACTTGTTACTATCCAGGGCTCGAGCCAAAACAGCACCATCAAGAAAACACTGGCAGTATTAAGGTAAATTCAACAATGTAAACAAGTTTTGATGGATGCAATAATGGAATACTGAATGGTATAGTTTTTGTAAAATATGCAGGGATTTATGATATGTAAAATGAACCATGGAAAGAGAAGAAGGCAAGTCATTGATATGTAAAATGAGTATTTTAAATTGTAAAACAGAAAACTTAATAAAATTATACGCAAAATAGCACCATCAATGTTTAACAGGCATGGAAGAAGTTTCGCAAAAGTACAAAAACACTTTAGAAAAAAATATAAATGGAAGAGATACGTGCCCCCCCCCCCCAATAAGCAGGCCAGTGAGTGACTATGGGATCCTGACTAATGGTTATGGGCCAGGGCAGAACAGAGGCACAGAAGAGAACAGGAGGATGCCATAGTCAACCCACCTTTTGTTCCAAGCTTCAGTTGATAATTCTTATTCTTATTCTACAGAAATTCCACAAGAGGGTAGAAGTGCCATCAAGTCAGTCTACAAGGGACAAACTTTAAATGTGATCAAAGAACAATAGGAACTCTCTTCCCACATCACAGGACAAAGGGGCAGTGGGTGCAATGATCCAGAGTGATGAGTGATTGAGACGGCCGCTCTGTGTGGATGCAGTTTGAAAAAGAAGAAAAACATTGCTCTTGATTTGTCGCATCCATTCTAGGAAGATGAGAATCTCCAAAGAAACACACTGCTGCTTAAGCACCCTCTGAGTAGGTGCCCTGCCTGTCTTGTTTACGTCTCAGGAGATGTTGCCTTTCCCCATTATATTCACATTGACCTGTGCTGTTGACATGTCTGCTTCTTTCCTTACTCTTGTTTCTCTGGCTCCCACTGTGTGCTTCAGAACGCAGAATTGAGAAGATACCTTCATAAGAGCCCCATCGTCTGCTTTAGATGGATGCAGTCACTGTTGGTGCTTGAGGGCGAACGGAGAGGTTTAGAATGGCCACTTGGTCACAGAACAACTAGGTGGTGATGCGGAAGCGGAGAAAAGGATTTAGATGTTACTGAATAAGAGTAGATGGAAGGGCTTCGGAGTGGGAATGTGGTTTAACAAGTAGAACAGTTGTGCTTAAAAGGTCTGGAGCAGAGAGCTTGTGATTTCTGCTTGGAGAAACATCCATGTGAGTACAGTGCCCACCTGTGGCACTGATGGGGACTGCACATCCTCTGTGCCAGTGTTTCTCAAACAGCCTTGGGTCACTTTTAGGTGGGTCACAGCATGCCCAGTGCCCCCTCCCTTGCCTGCCACACCCCCAAGCTTTGCAGTTTCAGATTTGATGAAAGGTGCTTTGAACTGTAGTTGGAAACGAGAGGCAGAAATCATTAAACAAACCGACACCACAGAAAGGTCTGAAAGATTCGTCAGAAGTTTATTATTTTATTTGGGGGGGGGGTTCCATACAAAATTCAAATAATTTGGAGTAATTTGTGCAGATAATACAACCAATTATTTGTGCAGATAACACAACCAATTCCTTTGCAGAACAACTAAGGCTGTGCTCTTAAGCCACCTATTAAGAAGTCAATGCCACTGAAATCAGTGGAAATGATTTCTGAATAAACTTTCCTAGGACTGCGTTGTAAGAAATTGATCTTTCGCTCATTCACACTATCTTAGCAAATGCAGATTGCAATGACATCTTCAAGATAACTCTGCACAAAAGCCTATTTCTACACAGTGTTATAAAGACTGGGAGCTAACTACTGTAAATTAATGGACACAAGAAATGCAGCAGGAGATTCTCATCCAGGTAACCAGGAATACAAGAAGCATCACTGGAAAAGAGAAATACCTTTTCATCTCCAGCACGCCTATGCTAGAAGCAGCTCCTAGCTATTTAGATTGCAGAGCCTGCACTGGTCTGCACTAGTTTCTATTAATCCAGCATGGACTGATGCTCATCTGTGCATCTTGTATGGTTGGGATGCGCTGAAACAGAGCATTTTACACCCTAGGTTGAAGGCTATGGGAAAACTATTTGTGCTGATATGTTTGCATGGGCATTATATGACATTGCCAGCTAGTGGCTTTCAGGACGGGTGAATTTGTCAATTTCCATTTCTCCGATCTTCTGTAATCTTAAATTCAGTTCTCCACACTTCCACGTATATAAAATTCACCAGCATTTTCATGCTGATTGATCCTAACAGATGCATGCTTGTGCATAAAATTTCCCCTACTATACACATTTCTGCAAAGCAGTTTTCCCCATCCTAACATACTTTGTATCTTATTTTCACAAATATAAGCATTGCTATGTATGCTTTCCTCCAACTGCAGATTCTCAAACTGTGGAATGAGACTCTGTGGGGGTGGGGTATTGTGATATGAAGTTCCAGGAAGGGAAGGATCCTGAGGTAAAACTGTGCCTTCATTCTCACTAACTGAGGTTTGATACTGCATCCATGGCCAAAACTGCTCCATACTTTGAAAGCATCATCATGCCCCTTTGAACAGTCATGGCTTCCCCCAAAGAATCCTGGGAACTGTAGTTGATTAACTTTGCTAGGAGTTGTTAGGAGGCCACCTATCCCCCCCTCAAAGAGCTACGATTCCTAGAATTCTGTGGAAAGAGGGATACTGTTAAGCCACTCTGAGAACTATAGCTTTGTAGGGGGAATAGCAACTCTCAGCACCCTTAACAGACTACATTTCCCAGGATTCTTTGGGGGAAGCCATGACTATTTAAAGTGGCATGATACTGCAGATGGGGCCTACAACTACTACTACTACCACCCTTGGAAGAGGCAAGATAGGCCTGGAATGGGATAACGGCAGGTTGGGAATAAAATTCCAGAGAGGGAAAAGAGAGATGGGTCAGATAGACACTTCTTGATTCACATTGCTTCCCTGGGGTGCGATGATCTCACTGCTGCACTTATAGTTCAGTCTGAACAAGACGCAATGCTTTCTTCATATTCTCTATTACTGAAAAAAAGGAGAGAAAAAGGTAGTGACGTGAATGATGATCACGGTTAAAAATAGAGAAAAGAAACTACCAAAAATCTTGCTGTTTTCCCCACCCCCCTGACCTTTGGAAGCAACAGCTGGGATCTTCTTGCACATGGAGAGCAAAACAAAAGAACCCAGAAATGCTTTGAGCTCCATCCAGTCAAGTGCAGGTGCAATACAGCCACATACCAATTAATCTCCGCCTGGGCCCAACAGACCTCTGTTTGTTCTCCCTGTCCCCAGCTCTATATAAATATGAAGGCAGCAGAAGGGGCCAGTGTGGGGAAGGGGAGATATTTGCTTGGCTCCCCATATCTGGATCTTGGCTGAACCACAATAGTAAAATGGTGGTGCGACCTTTTCACAATTGTCAGAAGCTTTCCTTGGAAGGCTCTTCAGCAACTGTGTGGCTCCGAGAGGCCATGCCTGTAGCTGTGGGAAGTGGCGGCGGCAAAGGTGCAGGGGGAGGGATTGAGTGGGTGGAGGGGACAAGCAATGGAGGCAGAGGGGAAGGTGGAGGCATGGTGCATACTGGTGCCTATTTTTCTTGGGGAAAAAACCCTCTCTCAGATCGGAAGGTCAGCGGTTGGAATCTGCTTGACGGGGTGAGCTCCCGTTGCTCTGTCCCAGCTTCTGCCAACCTAGCAGTTCGAATATATATACAGTGGAACCTCTACTTACGGACGTAATCAGTTCCGGAGATCCATCCGTAAGTTGATCTGGGTCACTGGTAGAAGCGCCATTGTGTGCAGGTGCATTCGGTGGCAGCACACTTCTGCGCATGTGCAGACGGTGGCAGCCACTTCTACGCGTGTGCAAATGGCTGCTTCTGCACGTGCGCGAATCGCGGCAAAACCAGCATTTACTTCTGGGTTTGCCGCAGTCACAACTTGGATTGGACCCAAGTAGAGGCGGTCGTAAGTAGAGGTTCTACTGTATATATATGCCACCAGCACAAGGATAGCAGTGCACTGCGCCCCCCCCCCCCGGCCAATGTCCATATACTCAGCACATCTGAAACAGCAACCTGTGCGTGTAAGTATATAAAAGCTCCCCTTTTGGATGCTGCACTAAACATGCAGACATCAGGGCATGGGGCCAGTAAAGCATACAGGCATTAGTGCTGTGCTGTCAGCTGTCCTCAAAATTCTAGAATTTATTGCTTTAATGGAAATACACATGTCCAGGAAGGCTGCGGACCACTGCTGGGATGATATGTAAGGTGAAAAAAGGAACCTCATAAACACCCCTTGGTTTCTTCAAAAGTAAGGTGAGCAAGACAAAAAAACCTGCACCCAACCTGTGAGAGTTTCTGTAACATTTTCTTCCCACTTTGATAATTTTTGAAAGCCATTTCTTTTCTCATTAATTAATAGTTTTTTGTTTTTTGATTTTTTAAAGTGCAGGAGGTAAATTTTTGGCACAGCAGTAAGCAGAAAGTGCAGACCTGCTTCTCACTCTGGGTATTTTGTAATCTCCTGGAGGGGTTCACCTGAGCACTCCCTGTATGGGCAGCACAAACATAAGCTTGTTTTGAGGGATCAACTCACAGACTGGCAGGTCTTGAGGCTCATAAGTATAGAGTCGATTAGAGTATCTTCCAGTGATATCAGCCCTTACCGTAAGTGAAGGATCTGGAAAAGCAAACAAAATATCGTAGTCATCCCTGATATAACAGCATCTTACTCTTATTTCATGCTAAGAGGTAGGAATTAAGATTTTTGAGGGAAGTTACTCAGTTGTCTGTAATGAAATTAATTTTAATATGGCTCAGTCTAGAGTCTGATTCCGGTTATGGTTCTCAGGGCAAGGACAAACCATAGTTTGCTGGTTTGGATGTGATGGCAAACTATGGCTTTTTGAACACCTGGACATTACTAATTTATTAGTACAGCACTCGAAGGAGATGGAAGCAGAGGAATGAGAGAGCATGTGTGTAAAATCTTGTTCCTATAGCACCGAACAATAGTTTGGCATTAAGTGTGAACCAACCCATTGCACAACAGTGATGGGCGGTTGGGATGTGGGTAGGAATCTATCTTGGCTGTCTCTTAGTTGAAGACCCAGGTCATCGAGCCTGAGCTTCCACCGCCGCCACCTGCCACAAACCATCAGGAGGTTTAACAAATTGAAGGACAGTGTCCTCTTTCTATGCTCCTCCCAATGGCAACATGCAGATGGAGACAGATTTACCTGCTTTAAGTCAATACATACTGTCTTCTTTTGTATATTATTTACTACAAAGCTCGACGACTAAGCTCTTTAGCGACGAAACATCAGATTACCGGAACGTCTGAGCACTGAACCACTGGTATATCACAAGTGGACTCTTTATTTACTGTGTTTGGTATTGTTTAAGATAAAACTTGTTTGGGAAAGAAACTACCTTTGCCATTTTTATGAATGTTTAGTGTTTGTTTACAGATAGTTGCCTTGGTGATATTATCTTGTGTTGATTGCAGTAGTCATTGTATCACTACCCTGTTCATTGCAGAGGGCCTTCTCGGTAGTGGCGTCTGCCCTGTGGAACGCCCTCCCATGAGATGTCAAAGAAATAAATAGCTATCTGACTTTTAGAAGACTTCTGAAGGCAGCCCTGTTTAGGGAAGTTTTTAATGTTTGATGCTTTATCACTTTTTAAATTATTATTATTAATATTCTGTTAGGAGCCACCCAGAGTGGCTGGGGAAACCCAGTCAGATGGGCGGGGTATAAATAAAATAATTGTTGTTGTTGTTAAACAAACCACCATTGGCAAGATTGGCAGCAACAACAGCAGATATGTACTATGCTTATGATACTACTGTATTCTCTTGTTAATTATGCTCTTTTAGATGAGTATTTTGTATTCCTTTGATTATGTTTTCTTTTGAAATCTTTCAGATAATCTTTTTTTTGTTTGTTAACTTTGTTGTGTTAAATGTGCATCCTGTAGTTGACCACCTTTGCAATGTATTGTAAAGATCTGCTGCTGCAATGTTAGGCATGTATTTATTTTAAGTTTACATTACTGCTAGGAGCAGGTGACTTTCACTTTCCTTTCACCACCCATGGACTCTCCAGTGTCAACCAGCTGCTGGAAATCCTCATGCTTCATTGAGATGAGGTTCCATTTTAGGGTCATAGTCACATCCAACACATACCTACAAACATGATTCGAGGCACATATTGTCCATCAGGTGACATGTTCTTGTCTGTTGTTTCATGCTGGCAGGGAAAAAAAAGAAAAGAATGCACACCATCTTAACCTTTAGCACTAAATCAAGCATTGTAACTACAAACAATAAGTTTAATATGTGCATTACATGTGCGCACCATCAGATTGAGCATGATGAAGTTGTTCTGGCACATCTCTTGAATTTCTTGGTTGTCCACGAAAACCTTCTTTAGTGCTGGAGAGAGCAAAGGAAGTTCGTCATTCCAAGTGCAAAATAGAACAAGTGCAAAGAGAGTAGGCAAGCATTCCTCTTTATTAGAGTGTTGTGGGCCAGGAGTCAGTTGTGCCTGCTGAACAGTAGCCTGAAAGGGGAGAAGGCAGAGTCACTCCACCTGCAGCTGATCAGCCTTCAAGGACACAGAGGAGAAGAAGGCACTGATGAGAACCAGCTGGCTTCAGCCTTCTCAAGCAGAGATTACAGCAGCAGTCAGATGCTGGCAACAACTCTTGTAGCTCCTGGTCCTACCTTGATGCTTCCTGCTTGTCTTGACCCCATGATCATCAGATTCCCTGACCCCTGGACCATCTGACCACATAGATTGCTGTTTGCCCAATCCTAGGACTGGACCTGATTTTGGATGCTGACTTGCCTGACCTCCAGGCAAGTACACCTCAGAGACTCTTCTGGTTGGCTAGCCTCCCAGCTCCACTGAACTCTGCATGTTGTTGTTCTACAACAAGACTATGACATAGAACAATACAAAATAGAACCATCCATTGTGGTCATATCTTCCATGACCCCATCTTCCTCTTCACAACAGAAGATAGAACTGGCACCCCAGTCAAAGTCTTTTCCACCAAGGCAAGGGACATTGTATTTCTATTTGAATTAGAGTACGGTTACCAGATGTCCCCGTTTCCTGGGGACAGTCCTCTGATTTACAAATCAGTCCCAATACAAAATCCTATCATTCCTAGTGAAGTTGAAAAATGTCCCCGGATTCATTGAAAAAAATCTGGTAACCTTAAATTAGAGTCAAATGTGTATCCTGTTTCCTTTTTGCAGGGAATATGCAAGCAGCCACCTGAAGTGCATCACACAGTAGAATCATTTACGTTTGCAGAGAGAGACAAGAAATTGTCGCTTCAAATCAAACATGTGTGATTTACCTTGACAATACGGACAATCTTCCAAATGGTGAATGACCATCAGTGGCTTATTACTTTTCCAAGGAGAGAAAAAAACATATTAGGTTAAATGCAGATACATTTTTCTATCATAAATGGGATGATGGGCAAATATTGTGGCAATGAATTAAGTAACAATCACAAAGTACATTCAACAGGCTTAGAGAAATCCTCTGCAAAGGGACAAGAAAAGTACCCTATTTTTCGCTCTATAGGACATACCCGACCATAGGACGCACCTTGTTTTAGAGGGGGAGAACAAGAAAAAAAAATCTCCCCCTCTCTGCTCAGCCCCCCTTCAGCGAAGCGGCAGGAGAAACAGAGCCCCTTCCATGTCTCCTCCCGCTCGCTGGAAGGCGCTGCGCAGCTCTCCCTCTCTGCTGAAGCCAGGAGAGTCTTGCTCTCCCGGCTTCAGCAAAAGGAACCCGAAGCCTTTGGAGCGCAGCGCGAAGTCCCGCTGTGCTCCAAAGGCTTCAGGGATAGCCACCTCCGGAGCGTGGAGGGACCGCTCCCTCTGCGCTTCGGAGGCTTCGCATTGCTATCGCTGAAGCCAAGGAGCCTGCATTCGCTCCATAGGATGCATACACATTTCCCCTTAATTTTTGGAGGGGAAAAAATGCATCTTATAGAGCGAAAAATACAGTAATACAGTCCCCTGTAGGATTCCCCTTCCTGACAGGTGCGGGTGAAACATGAAACCTGCAGAGCAACTATAAAAACCATATACCTTCTTCCATATTTCATCTCAAGATTCCTACCTCATACATAAAGCCCATAACAATTTGGAAATGAATTATGTGAAAGATTACTTACTCTTCTATCAACCTGTAAGATCCATTAGATCACTGGGGGGAATTTTACTCATGGCACCACACCTAACAGCAAGGGTGGGGAGCCTTTTTGACTGTGACCCCACCCCATGGGCCAACTTTGAAACATGGGCGGGGCAACCCACCTGTCATTCACACGATGTCATCATGATGCCGCACGGTTGACAGGTGGATTATCCCGCCCACCTGCCAAAATCCCTTGTGCTGGGTTCCCAAGCTTGGGAAGCACAGCTCAAAGGGTGTTGCCAGCCCTAAGCTTTGCAAGTCTCCCCACGCCGCTCCTTTCCACCCCGAATAGAAATGGAAAGACGCCACACGGAGCAAGTTTTCCCTTGCTGCTGTCTTTGGAGACTGAAAGGAGCAGCATGCAGCTGCTTCAAAGTGCAGCACTGGGAGGGAGAATCAGCTTCCATTGAATGGAAACTGCTTTCCCATCCTTGAGTTGTCGGAGATACAGTGATACATCGGGTTACAGATGCTTCAGGTTACAGACTCCGCTAACCCAGAAATAGTACCTCGGGTTAAGAACTTTGCTTCAGGATGAGAACAGAAATCGTGCTCCGGCGGCATGGCGGCAGCAGGAGGCCCCATTAGCTAAAGCGGTGCTTCAGGTTAAGAACAGTTTCAGGTTAAGAATGGACCTCCGGGACGAATTAAGTACTTAACCTGAGGTACCACTGTATATGCATAGTTCTTACACTGTCAGCCTGGAAGGGATGTTTTGTTAGAGCAAAATTCCTTCTCCTAAACAGCTTTAGGGATGGAATCTTACCTTTGTTTTGCCTGGTAGAGCCCTTCTTCATAAGTCTGTACCCAAGTTATATCATCTCCCCATCCTGGAACAACAGATTCAAGGTAGATCACTGTCCATTCAGTCATCCAATATATTTTTCAAAGTAATCTAAGCCAACAATGAAAATTGCAAATGTCCACCCTTTCCGTCTTTTTATAGAGGCTGATCAGTAGTTTGTACGTTATCCTCTCTGTTATTAGGCACCACTTTTCTCATGACAATTTTGGCACATACCAGGCGCACATATTTAGGTGAGAGCTTGTGGGACAGTGTTTTCACACCATTTGAAAAACCAGCCCACCACCATATTCAAGGAGAAGCCACATTCTTCTAGGGCCTTCTCGGTGGTGGCGCCCACCCTGTGGAATGCCCTCCCACCAGATGTCAAGGAAATAAACAACTACCTGACTTTTAGAAAACATCTGAAGGGAGCCCTGTTTCGGGAAGTTTTTAATGTTTGATGTTTTATCATGTTTTTAATATTCTGTTGGGAGCCGCCCAGAGTGGCTGGGGAAACCCAGCCAGATGAGTGGGGTATAAGTAATACATTATTATTATTATTATTATTATTATTATTATTAGGTTAGAGTCTGGATGATGTGATACTTTCAAGCTAGAACCAGCAAGCAATGATGTTCATCTTTCAAACCACCTTCCTGATCCAGTGGTTATTTAAATAATAATAATTTCCTTGTCTTTAAAAATTTCCATACCTCGTTAAACACCTACTTGTTTTGAATGAACTTTAAAAAGTAATCAAGATCGTGCAGGAATCCAAAGAACAGAGTGACACTACAGTACCTCTGGAGAGTGTCTGGGGAACTCTTTTTTCCTTTTTGATTGCCATTGCAAAATTGGAGGAAACAGCAATTAGCATGAAAGATAAGCCCAGCGCTGAGTGCATCTTTGTCTTCTTTCAACCCTCTTCAAGATAGACCTTGATAAATGGAAGAGAAAGTCAATGTTTTAACCTGGTATCTTCCTGAGAAGCTGTGCTTGTATGTGTTCTGATAAGATACTTTTTTTATTCTAAGAAAGAGATACGAATTTCCTTTAACAAACTACTGAAACCAAACCCACGTATTAATGAAAAAAGACAGGCAGATTACGCTGAATGATTAATAGTGATTTCAGGTTCATTTTAATTTTTGCCCATTCACACAATATCACTAAGAACAATCCCTCTGACTCTTATGAGCAGATGGTGACCAGGAAATGTATACTTGTCTGATATTCAAAAATCTCATTTTGTAGGGAAACGTTTGAATTTTTGAAGGGTAATTTTGCATTTTTTAAAAAAAGTAGTAATTTAGTGCAACCCCCTCACTCTTGTTTTATGGAACATGAAATGTTTAACAGAACTGAAATGGCTCAGTTTGGCTCAGTCAGTAGAATGTGAGACTCTTAATCTCAGGGTTGTGGGTTCGAGCCCCATGTTGGGGCAGAAGATTCTTTCATTGTAGAGGGTTGGACTACATGATCCTCGTGGTCCCCTCAACTCCACAATTCTATGATGCTAGGCACCAAAAATGCCACAAAGCTTCTGACGATAGCTGTGATTTGAATTCAATTTTCTCCCACATCTAACCAGAAATTCAAATGCTAGGCTTGCCCAATACTAGGCAGTGTTAATAATAATAATAATAATAATAATAATAATAATAATAATAATATAATTAATAAACCCATAGGAACTTGGTTGACCTTCTTGCTGAATATTCAAGGGAATGTTTCCATTCATTGCACCAGCCCATTTCATGCTAAATTATGTGGTTCCATATATGGTTCCGTAAAGAAACAATTGCAAATTTCATTGAGCAACTAATCTCCGCTGTTCTTTCTTTTCTTTTTTAACAAGACCTGGACAAAATGGGCCATTTGCAAACTTGGCTGGTCGCGGCACAATCTTGTAATCTCAGAAGTTGGTCTCCCTTGAGTTCAGTGGGGCTTACCCAGGGAAAGGTGGACCTAAAATTGCAACCTGAATTCTGCTAATATTGGCAAATTCTCTCAAATGCACTTTGAAAGGGTCACAACAGATCGTAGTCATAAATGTCTACTGAGAAGTCGTCACAAGATTGTGCTGTGGCTGCTTCATTCTCCAGAAATTCTGAAATTGTAAAAGTAATTGCTTTTGTAGACAAATTAGGATTTCATGGTATAAGTATTTTACCTTCACAGCAAAAGACTTCATTTAAGAGAACCGATGCAATTTATACATATTTACTCCGAAGTAAGTCTCCAAAGCATTTATTCCCAGACAAATTGGTATAGGATTGCAGCATTAAGCTGTAATCCTATACACTCTTAACTGGGAGTAAGTTCTATTGAGCTTAATTGGACATACTTCTGAGTAGACATGCATAGGATTGCGCCATTGACATCAGTTGTATGGAATGGCTTTTCTTCCATTTGTTCTCAGCCAAGAAATCTCTCCTGGGGACAAAAAGGTTAGCTCCAAATTCTCTACATAGTAAATTATTACGGATAAAAGGAGACCTTAAACAATCAATATTATCGCTGTCAGATGCAGAGGTTAGTAACAGCAAGCACTAAGCACACCTGTTTAAATAAGAAATTAAAGAAATTTCTTATCTTATTAATTAAAGAAATTAATAAGATATTGTTGAGAAACCATTTCCAATTTGCAAAGACAAAGCTCGTGCCAACCATGGCAGACAAGATTCTTCAAAGACACACAAATCACTAGCCGCTAAACTTTATTAAAATATAATTTTCTTTTAAAAATGAAACATTTTTCTCATTGGGAAAATCTCCCGCCTTCTTCCTTAATATAAGTCATAACTGCTGCTATTGGAAACCTTTGACCCCATCCTGGATAAACACAATCCCATTGTCAGCAAGTTTTTACAACACTATGAAATCTACTTCAAATATAGGTATTGCAGCCAAGAGATGCCCCTTAGTGAATATTTCACAGAAAATGGGTAGACCGTGTGTAACTTCTTCCTGCCCCAGTTTATTTGCTTCTTTTGTTTAAGGTAAATTTGCAATTAAAAGATGTTAAAAACTCTGGATTTTTGCTCACCGGAGCTGATCAGTTGCGCCGGCGAAAGTTCCTTGCCAAGGAAGCAAATGTTTTAAAGTGGGTGTGATTTATAGATCTGAGAACAGCTGACCTGCCTGGTCCCTTCATCCAGATTTTACAGCAGTATAGTTCCTTGAAAAAGGGATAGCAGTGCCTGGCCCTGTCCCATCCCTCCCTCCCTCCCTCCTTTCCCTAAACTTCTCTGCAAGTTCTCATCCTGGCATATTGAATGCTCAGATTTCCCTCCCCATCTTTGCTTGTATCAGGTGTCATTGCATTGGAACGGGGGAAAGTAGCGTTTTTGTGTGCATCTGTGGCTTTTCCTCCCAAATGGCTACAGCCTGGCTCCAGTTCAGTGAAATAAGAAACCAGCAATGAAAGTTGGAACTGGAGGTGCTATTGTTTCCAATGAATGGCTGAGTTCACTAGGACTCTGAGATTAGGGATGAAACTAATAGGAAGATACAACAGTTACCCTTTGTGCAGAAAAAATGTAATTAAGAAATCAAGGTAAAAAAAAAAAAAGTTTAACAGAGAAGGGGAGGGGACCCAAAGTCCTCACCTTTCACAGAATAACGATTGAGCTATGGATGAGGAAGGAGGGCAAGGGTTTTACTGTAATTGTGTTTTCTAATGCAGTTCTGCTGAGTTCATTGTGCTTTCAACAGAGGGTTGTTTACTTTGGTTACACACCTATGTTATCTTTGCCCCTTTTTGTTGCTTGGAATACACTGACAATTGGGTCACCGATTAGGTGTCAGGAAATCCTGGATATGTGGGCAGCTCTCCCAGGTGGTGAACCTTTGAATTACAGGTGCCGGCTTTGCCACAGAAGTAGACTGACTCCGCCTACCCAGGCTGCCTATTGGCTCTTCCTGGACAGGAAAGAGTATAAGAAGCCTTCCTGTTCCAGCTGACCATTGTGAATTCTTCTGTTCCTGAGCACTGATGTGTAGTTAGTTATTGCTGGTAACCGAGCCTTATGAGGAGCAGTTGAAAGAGCTGATAGGATGTTTAGCCTGGAAAGAGGAAACTGAAAGGAAATATGATAGCCATCTTCCATTATTTTTATTTAATTTTATTTTTAAAATTTATATACCGCACTATACCCAGGGTCTCAGGGTGGTTCACAGAATAAAATCAAGATATAAAACCACAAAATATCTAATAAAAATAACAACAGCAAACCAATAACACCCCACTCCACACAAAAAACACATTTGAAAAGGGCATAGGATGTAAATCAGATCAACCAAAGGCCTGGTTAAAAAGGAACGTTTTTGGCTGGTGCCTAAAGGTGTGTAATGAAGGCGCCAGGCGAACTTCCCTGGGGAGAGCATTCCACAGACGGGGAGCCACTGCAGAGAAGGCCTGTCACATGGGCTGTAGCCCTGTAGCCAAGGGCTGTCACATGGAAGGGGGAGCAAGCTTGTTTTCTCCTGCTCTGGAGGGTAGGACACGAACCATTGGCTTTAAGTTACAAGAAAGGAGATCCCAACTAAACATCAGGAAAAGTTTTCTGACAATAAGAGCTGTTCGACAGTGGAAAGGCCTCCCTCAGGAGGCTGTGGACTCTACTTCCTTGGAGGTTTTTAAGCAACGGTTGGGTGGCCATCTGTCCTGGATGAATTAGTTGAGATTCCTGCATTGCAGGGGGTTGGACTAGATATCCCTTGGGGTCCCTTCCAACTCTACAGTTCTGATTCTACGGTCCTGACTTCTGGTTTACGCCTCCCTCCTATTCGTCATCTATTTTATTTATTTATGAAATATTTATATACTGCTGTATCATTTTTTAAAATATATATATCAGAGTGGTTTCCAAAATTATATATACTAAAAGCACACAAAAAATTAAAATGAAAGACCATCAACTAATCATTATTTCTTAATCGCCTGCATAAACCTGGTGGCATAAGAAAGTTTTCAGCAGGTATTTAAAGGTTGAAACAGAAGGCACTCACTGAATCTGTATTAGCAGAGCATTCCACAGGACTGGACCAATGCGGCTAAGAGGAAGGTTTCTTGTTGACAGATGAGACTTGCCAACACTGGAGACAACAACTGATGCTGCTCCAGATTATTTTAGTGGCTGATCTTAGATGTAAGGGCTTAGGCGATCCTAATGTGCCCTGGACCCACATTGTTCAGGGCTTTGAAAATGAGTATGACGACCTTGAACTTCACTTAGCAGTGGATGGGCAGCTGGTTCAGATCTTTTAACAAAAGCTGGCCAGTAATCTGGCTGCCACATTCTGCATCAGCTGGCACTTGTGAATCTGACTTGCTTCTCTATCCTGACCCCTGGCTTGCCTTCTTGATGCATTCTTCTGTCCAGTATTTGCTGGCCTCAGAGCTCCTGATGCTTTGCTCATGGCTCCCTTCAGACAGCCCACAGCTCAGTCTTGACATCAGGATCAGAAGAGCTCATTAAAGGGGTTCTTTCAGGCAGATAAAGATGAATAATAAAGATGAATAATAGAATCTTAACACTGCATGAACTCCTGCATAAATATTTCCTCTTGCAGTTCTTAGAGCAAAACCCATAGAATTTAAGATTGAATAGCTGATTGTCCATATTTGAGAGATGATACCATGGACTGTGAGAAGGTGATTGCGTATGGGAGGCAATTTCCTGCAGCACTGGCCCCAGACAACCCCACGCATGAGGACCCCATCTTGCCACCGCTTTCCCAGTCTGAAGAAGTTGAAATGCACAGCAGAGATGCCAATATTTTGCTATGAGTCCCTTTAATGAAGAAGAAGGCTTTTTAGAGCCAATGTTGTTGTGCTAGTCTTTCCATCTCTGATTGCAACTGTTGGGAGTATTTAGAATGAAGCGTCTCTTCCGCACTGCTAAACTAGATAACTTTCCTGAACAACTATGGCAAGATTAAATTATTTTATTGTTTAGCTTCAATGCGGGGCAGTGAAAGTAGATGAATTCATTATTTATGCTGCAAGCGCCATCTGCTGGAACAAAAGCGCCATGCAAATATTGAAATAATTCCAACAGTGTTTTTGGAGAGCTGCAAAAAAATATGATTGCAAATATTCTTATTGTGCATTTTTTAAAATGGCACTGTTTGATTCATTGTTTTAATAATCATTTAAATGCAGCTTGGAGGAAATGGACTTGCTGGCTACTCAGAAGAGTTTGAGAGTTCTGGACTGCAAGGAAGTATTTTCTGATTATTATTATTTTAACCATCTAGCATGAACACAGGAAAGGAAGCCCACTGTTGTTTCCTGTATTTGCTCATATCATTAACATCAGAAACCAGTCCAAGAAAGATTCTGGTATTTATGCTCTGGTTGAACCATAAGGCTGATCATACATGCTACTTTAAAAGTTGGATTCGAGCAAAGCATTTGACAAAGTTCCCCATTACATT